GATACAGTATATATATTTCACAGTTGTTCAATTTTAGTGCAAAAGAAGGCCTGCCGTGATTTCTTCCTTAAATTATATTTGGAACATTGATTTTTGTGTGTCAGTTATTTATTGTGGATATATTTTCTTTGTACGAGATTGTTATTTTTCACGTAAGAGTTGTAGATGGTTGAAAAAATAACTTCTATGACTCATTATAGATGCTAATGTACTTACTAAGTACTATTAATGTAATACAATAAGGATATAGTGTACAGTAGACTATGTTTTTGCTCTAATCCTGCTTTGGGGTTAGTGTCAGTGGCATAAGTTAGTTTCAGTGTATCATTTATCATCTATATTTTCTTATATACACTTAAAAATATGGTATTGTGTTAGTCCGAACTGAATAAAAGTGGATTCTCAAGTTAAGATGAGTCAACAGTTGGTATTAGTTGTGCTTTGTTTGACAGACATGGATGAGTGAAGAGCATTTGTTAAGATTCTCAAGAACTGCAGTGGTTCCATGTAAATTTACTGTTAGTAATTGACATTGATGGAGTATTATATTTAAGTATACATTAGACCAGAGAGACAATTCTGTAGTAAAGTTGACCAAAAATGCTGTTGAAAGCACCCAAAGGGCACTTGCAAATTTGTAGCGTTGCAACATTTTATCTTTTTTACAGTCCCTGGGTTTGCAGAGACAATTTCTTCTCTCCCTTGTTCAACTTGTGCACACACTACCTTGAAGTTTGAGTTAAAAGTATCCACTGGAGATCTCGTAGAAATCAGTTGCCATGGCGCATCAAAAGCAACTGTAAACATTCCTGGTTGAAATCCCACAAATTAACAGAGGAGCTTTGTTTGAGTGAAGCAACAAAGGCAAAGCTGAGACAAGTCACTGCGTGTTTTTCAGTAAGCGCTGAGGAGAGAGACATGGTTTAGCCCCTGAAAACTTTCTCAGGGTCAAAGGTGACAGTCTCAGGGCTTGTGTAGAGTATGTTAGGTTAATATTTCTCTCAACAGATGCAAAGCTTGCTTCCATTTCTTTGAACATTTCAAAGAAATGTAATGCCAATTGCTTTTAAAGAAAGCAGTTTGAAGCTTTAACAATTAACAAAGCATTTGGAGAATGTCTTGAAAGTCTGACCCTGCAAATTACACTGTACTCTTATTAAACATCTCTAAGCATGTGCGTATTTGTTATAATTGTTGTTGTTGTTATATCTAGGCCAAAAGACCAGAAGCAAAAATCAGTCTTTGTACTAGTGGGAATTTTTTTATATATATATATTTTTTTTGTAATATGATAAGATTTGAACCATAATTTTAAACTAATTACTTAAGTGTCGCAGTCTGCTGTTTATTTAGCTCTATTATTTAGCTTTATTTGCAGCTCAGTCATGAGCTTATTTACGTCAGCAATATATCACATTTAAGAATTTGTTATTGTGATAGGTTTATATGGGTTTGTTAGGAGGTAAAATATGAGCAGCAATATTGTAGCTTTTGTAATAGAGGTATTTGAATGTAGTACAACGTCACTAAACACTAAACTTTATGCTCAACTGTTTTTTGTTTGTTTTTTACATTAAAGGGACCATATTATGCTATTTTATGATTTATGTTATAAATTTCCTCATTACAAACATATCTGGAGTTGTGTTTCCTGCTAATTTAGGCTGTGTTCTTGTCTCATACAGAAAGCACTTTTGTGATGTTATGTAGACACCTTGTGATGTTATGTCGTAATACAGGAAGAGCTCCACTGTGTTTTTAAAGCCCATACATATTCACTAGAATCATTTGGATGATTTCAGCTCTGGAATTGCCCATCTCTACTGAACTAAACATAAAAGGTAGCTGTTAACATGAAAACTACCACAACGGGACAACAGAACATTTTGAGCTTTGGAGATGTAAACAGATAGCCTGATTCATCGACCAGTTTCACTTCGTGGAAACTGTCTGACCTCGCAGCATTAGGATTCGTTCGCTCAATGGTACGTGGGTATTTTTTATTTACTTTATTGAACCAATCACTATTATTTGGTCATGATGTATGTAATGCGCTGCTAACAGGGCTAACTGGTATATTAAGCTTTTCCCAAATCCCGTAGAAAGAAGGACAATCACGTCTTTCCCCTTGATAAAATTCACCAACATTCTCTTTGTTCCGGCTTTAAATCCTCGATCTTGGGAATCGTTGCCAACACAGAATGTATGGCTCTTCACTGAGTGGCTGGTGCTTGGACTCGCACTTCCGGGGTTCTTGCAAACCGTCTAGTGTATTCAGATTCCTGACCTAGTCACTGGAGAGAAATGAAATTGACTGGAGGCTCTAGGTGGCACCAGCCTGGCTAGTAAACAGATGTAAAGGATTTCTGAAATACATGTGAATGAAGCAAGCGTAACTCCAGGTATGTTTTTGAGGAGGTAACAGTATTCTAACATGGCTTAAAGCCCACAAGAGTCAATTTTGCGTAATATAGATCCTTTAACTTCCTCTGAATCTTGTCCTCATTCAACAGCTTACTCCAAATTTAATAGTCAAGTCAGCGTCACAGTGTGATTTTATTTCAAACCAGTGCAACATGATGTACAGCTCATCACATCCTATCGCTCATGTACATTTAGACTGAGATGTGAAATCCTGCACCTCTTTATTGTCCCCTCCCTCTGCTCTTTCTGGTTAGGTTTGTTCACCCCCCCTCCTCAGACATATTTCATCACCACGCTGAGAGTAGGAGGCTGTAAGTCCTCAAGTGGCAGCACGATCCCACTGATGTCTTTTCACTTATGTATGTCCACACTCAATCAAACCAGCATGTTTCTGCAGGTTTATTGAAAACAGACTACACTGTGTAAATATCTCTCACATACAGAGATGGAATGACTCACTATGATTTATACTCATTAACCGCCAAACTGCTTCAAAACAATCTTAAGTAAAAACCTTCAAACAGATGTATTGAAGTTACCCAACCACAGACCTAACCACACACTATAAGACAAATGTTTTATTATGTTTTACTAATTATGAAAACAAATAGCATATAAAAAAATTCATTAAAGTCAAATTATGTTTAGTTATTGTTATGTATTTAGTTGTAATTGAAATGTAAAGGTGCATTGTATAACTTTTCTGGTGGAGCGTTCGTCACCTGCTTGTTTCTATGAATATTCCTTTGCCTGGAATGTTCCACAGTGTGACATTAAACAGCTCTACCTTATATTTATTCAGTTACAGGTGGTTTTATGGCTCAAAAATAACTAGAAACACAGGCATTCTGATTGTTAAGTGATATTGCCTCGCCATATATCTGACGTTTGGCCTATACGAAGATAGAAAGGCTTAATGCCATACTGTGAAACATTCCAGACAAACTATTAACTTTTATTTGGAGAAAAACATTTGACGAATCCTGCACCTGCAAAGTTACACAATACACCTTTATAAAGAAATTATTCTCAGCTTCTCTGGCACTGTATTTCCTCAAGCGTAAATTACTTCTAAAGGAATGATGATGAGGCATTAAATAGTGTGGTTATGACCTATTAATGGATTGTTATTAGAAGCTTTTCCTTTGCACGAATTGACAGACAGGAGGAAGTTCATATTATGCAAACTAGTAGGTGTACTAGTATAGCTTGTCCGTTTTGCAGTCTTTATAGAGAAATCAAGCTCTGCCCTCTTGTGGCCAATAGTTGTCATTACGTTGACATGTCACGTGTTGATTTTGGGGCGCTCAGACGATCAAATACACTCTTCAGGGAGCTTGATCAGCTGACAGTGCACAGTTGATCTATAGCCACTGAGACAAGTTACAGTTCAGATGTGCAGAGAGGCTCACTCACTCACAATATATATATATATATATATATATATATATATATATTATATATATATAGTGTGTAATTGAATGAATGCAAGGTTTAATGCCATATTGTGGAACATTCTAGGCAGAGTAATCTCTAAAGTGCATATTATATATATTTCAGTGAAGGGCCGTTTGTCTTAGTTGTTGGTATCATGCTATTCTTTCTGCCTGGGTGTGACTTGTCTCTTAAAAGTGCTCCTCTTTTGTGTGTGTGTCTCCTCATGCCTCACACGTGCTACACAATCCTCAGTGTGACTCTAATTGCTTTGTGTTCATGATCTGACACCGAGCTCTGAATGCGGTCCGTCCTGTGCCCCTTCAACTGGTTGCTTTAGGCGCGGGACAAGAGCGACGAAAGCTGTGCATGTCAGAGCATTGAAAAACTATTAGCAACAAACAGTTGTGTGTAGGTATATGGAGTGTGTAGTGTGTAGGCATACGCTTTGCATCAATAAAACAAGGTATTTGCCTGTCTCCATGGTGTTATAGCTTTACCTGGAATGTTACACAGTAACATATTTAGAATTTATTTCATTACTTTGTGTTTTCAGTTTTTTTATTGCTAAAAAACTCATTGAAAAACAAGAAGTCTTACTGTGAGCAGAGTCACCTCTCCACAGATTTCAATTTCCAGAAAGTTTCACAATTTCCTCATATAGCATCTATATGGAGACAAGCAGGTGGCAAACAGAAATATTACATAGTCCACCTTTACCATAAATGCACAAAACATATAGGCTTAGTTAAGTAAAAAGTTAAATAAATGAAAAATTTTATTTTTGTAAGCCAAAACATTTTACATTTTAATAATTCCAAATAACATAACAAAAATACCCATATGCATATCTGCCCATCAGTGGTGTAAATGTAAATTTCCATGTAAAAGTGCAGACATAAAAGCAAACACCAAACACCAAGTCATTCTTTTGTTCAGCTTTTGTTTTTTATTTATTTTGTTTGTGTTTTTGTTTGTTTTTGTTTTGTTTGTTTGTTTGTTATTTATGAATGCTAAGTTAAATAAAGTGTTTTGTCCAAGTCAAACAAAAGCCAGTGATCTAATATCCTTTGTGCCCCTTTGCTATCCCCCTCTGCTCCCCCTCTGTTTCCCCCTCTGCACTTCCTGCCCCTCTCCTCCAGGAGCTATGACCAGATGAGCATTTCCACTGAATGTAGTTACCGCACGGAGCTGGAGTGGGACCCTCAGTGTGAAAATACTTCCATGATGAGCTTCGACATGAGCTCACCGCAAAGCCCAAAGTCACCCTCCAAATTCTTTAAGGTTAGTGTTTTTAATAATGTTTCTACTGTTTTTGGAAATCCTGACAAAGTTTGCAGGAGCAGCTGTTCAGTTTAGTTGCTAACTGTGTGCATGCTTCAGGACAGAGTGTGCATGTTGTGCATAAGTGGGCGTAGTGCAGGAGATGTAATGCAATGCAATTCATGAATATGATGGTTATTTAGACGTTAGACTTTGATCCTCAAGGGAAATTACCTTATTACAATATAATTACCAAGAACAAAACAACTGATGGAAATAATATTCAAATGACAAGATTATTAAAGATTTTTGACTAGAAGTTTTTTATTGTTTTGCTGACAATGAAGATGAAGATTCTTTGCATTTCACCAGTTAAAATGTTATTGGAGTGCTAAAATATACTCTGAAATACCTGCATACACACATTACAAGAAAGAACATATGTCAAAGCATTATTTAGCATGTTGTAGTAACAATTGGGAAAACATTGAAGTAATTTGTTTAAATAGAAATATCTCTATATTTATAATAGCTTTAGTTCATAATAATTTGTTTCTTAGTTAATCTTTTTTAACTTTAGTGTTGAGCCTTTTTTCTTCACAGAATTCACAACAATCATATGCCAGTCCTGTCTGTCGTTTACTTGTCCTGTTTTTGCCTGTAGGGGACAGTAGTGTAAACATCCTGGCATGTGTGACTATAGTTACTAATGTTTCTGGGCTCCTCCTCTTTACCATTATTAAACCTGAGGGATTTCTGTGTAAGGTCTTTTTTTGAATGACTGGAACCTGTCTGACCAGCTCATGTTTGTGTGAGTGGGGGTGATAGAGTTTGCTATTACTTATAGCTAATGGTTTTATACAATAGTTCATATCTGCAATTTGAGTGCTTCTCATTATAGTCAAGGTCAGTACATGACATTGTTGACAAAAGAAGTGACTTTACACTTACAGAGTCAACAGGAACTTGAAAACCAAGCTGCTGAATTTAACATGTTTGCTCAGTAAGTGTATAATTTACCCAATGTCTGAGAACAGCATTCATACGTACACAACAGTAAAATGTACATTTGAGTGCTAGTTAATGATGTTGTGTAAACTGGGCAAGACCATATTGAAACTGAATGTATGCGCTCTTGGTTTATGATTCATTGCTGATATAGGCAGATTTCTTTCTGACACATAGGGCACTAGAGATAACAGATTGGTATGGGTTTTACTCTCCTTTAAAACAAGGAAGGGCGGGTTTCCATCCACACCCTTTCATTTTAACAGGATCGGGGACTGTTTGCCATGTGTCTCTGAGCTCTGATGCAAATGACCAGCAGAGACTCCGCAGGCCAGACTGGTGTGTGCAGGAAGACAGGACTATTTTGCCAATCTGCCCCATTTTCAATTTTCTATTTATTTATTTATTTATTTATTTATTATAATCGTGTCTACAGCTGCTTCGGTCTCCATGTGGCAATATGGTATGTTGATGTTGTTTGATGTTGACTTGTCGTAACATGTGTTCACTGGAGCGTGATTTTGCAACACGTGCGACAGCTTAATGTTTTCATTGTTTTCAGTGTACATTATGAGGGGCTTTTCTGAGTTTCTTCCTTCCTTTTTTACTTTGTAAGAGCTTCTGTTTTCATTTTATTTGTAATTTGGCAGTATGAGTGTCTTTATATTGACACCTCTTCCTCATTCAGTTAACCCTTGTACCGAGTTTTATATGGTTAGTTAGTTATTATCCTTTCATTTACACAGATTGATTTGAGGTCTGTCATAACTTAAAAATTAGCTAGGCTTTTCTCTTATTTGAACATGTATTACTTTGATAAGATTTGTCCGTGAACTGTGTGTGTTTTTGACAATTAGAAACAGCACTGTCTCTGTTTTTATCTTTCATTCTTTTAGTAAATCTGTAGACAGGGTGTGCCATATACTGTCCGACCTTCATACCTAACTTATGTTTTGTCTGTCTTCTTTCAGAATTCGGAGGACAAAAGGAAAATGTTTGAGCGCATCAGCAGTTTTTTTACTCCCAAGAAGAAGAAAAGCAAACTCCCTTCAGAATCCTCCACAGAAGCAGAGTCCCCTCAGTCTCCACGATCACCCCTGTATCAGGATGGGTTCAAGACACCAACTCAGTCTCCCAAAGCCAGTCTGCTGGATGTAAAGAAAGGGGCAGAATGTGGAGATAATCTCAGTCAGACGTCCACTCCCAGCACAGCCAGTCTGGTGTCTGTGTTGGCAGGTCACACAGAAGTACCCTTTGCCGACAGCAGCAGCAGTGGAAAAAGCAGTGTGCGAGAGGTGTCCGTGTGCAAAATTAGCACAGCAGAGGGGAATTCTGGGAACGTCACTTCTTCCACTTTTGAGAACATTACTTTGTCTAGTGCTGGGTCCAGCTCTGCTTTAGGTTTTGCTGACTCAGTTGTGGAGGAGGTGAGCAAGAGGTTGCAGGTACATCTGGATGAACACATCTACACAGAGAAACAAAAAGGAGAAAAAACTGGAAAAAAAGTCACACAATTTACAGTTACAAGCCCTTTGTCTCCGCCGAAGTCGCCCAACCTCACATCCATCAGTTTAGCCACAAAGAAGAGCTCAGTGAAGATAGGAGAACATGGACACAGCACAAGTCTGTCAGGAATCACTTTGGGGAGTCAGTCATCCACACCTCACCTCATCAGCACACGGCTGGACCTGGCACATGCGCCAATAGAAACCTCTAAAGTTGTTAAACATATTGTCACAGCCATACAGGAACCTGCTGCAGTGAGCTCTTTACACCAGGAGGATGAGGCAGCCAAGGCAGAGTCCCCTGTGCTTGTCAAAGCCATATGGGTGGAGACGCACCTGGGAGAGGAGGACTGGAGCAGGGAGGGGGAGACAGATGGTTTAATCCGAGGTTCGGAGGAGGGCTTCAGAGAGGACTCTCCTCTTGTGCTAGCTATACCTGTTACAGTCATTCCTGAGGATGACTCATTTAGGCAGAGCGGCACTGACAGACCAGCCACCCCCACAAAGAGCGCACCATCAGGTGGCAGCCTGCCAGAGCTTGCACCCACCCAGGAGCCTCACACAGTCTCTGCACAGCCAGGGAGCACCAGCGCTGGCACTAACTCAAAACCAAGGTCTATTACAGACACATCTCCAGGAGAGGTCCGTGTCACACGTAAGACTGTGAGCCTGCCATCAAAGCATCGCATTTTTGCCCACAAGGTGAACATTAGCCCCGAGGGCAGCTCAGACGAGAACAAAACTACTGAAGAGGAGCACAGCATAAGTTCAAAGGCTGAGGACAGATGCAAGGCTAAATTGTAAGTACAATTTGTTTTACTTTGCTGTGGCTATTGTTGAAAACTTCTTTTGATCCTGATGGAAAAGTAAGCACAGAGAGCGTGGGGGAGCAAAGCTGCATGCAACCTGAGCACTGAGTTCCCATGCTCCTTTGTACCAGCAGAGAACAATACACACTCAGCTGCAGAAAACACTGAAATATTCATACCCAGCTCTCAGTCAGACACACACACCAATGTGATGGAAGCAGATTAACTTTTTAAATATTTTTTTATATTATCTTAATATGGTCTTACTAGTGAATATGAAGGTCAGTCTTGTGTGTGAACTAATGGTGTATTGCCACAGTTGGAATAAGTCAGTGATTACAAAAGTTGATGGGCAACCACTGAGAGTTGTTGCACTGTTTGACTTGGGTTTGCATGGTTACGTTCACACATATAGAAAAAAGGTGTGGCCTCACATAATAAATTGTACTGTGTCATGTGAATGTTACTGTTGTACTAGGTCAGTTCTAAAAGTGTCTGAAGAATGGGGGCATGTTATATTGCCATTTTATCTTTTATTTAACTTGAAAACTGTTTTAATTACATTGTTAATAACTCTCATATAGTTAGATTTTAGAGTTACACTGGATTACTGTTTTATGTTTATATTTTATTATTGTTTACCATTTTATATGATGTGTATGTTTGAGGGCTGCAATGATTAATCAAATGAATCATGAGTAGTTGTCTATTAAAATGATCATTAACATACTGTGACAATGTTAATCATTATCTGGTCTATGCAGACTCTAATACACATGCCCAAATACTTTTTTATATATATAATAAAGACAGCAGCAATGTTAAAACAAATTGTCAAAAGTGAATAACAATTTAAGATTCTTACTATTAGTAAATATTCTCTGCCTAGAACCCTTCAGTCACAATATTTCAACTTTTATTTGTAAAAAAAAAAAAAAAATTGACAGTTTACAATAGAAATACTAAAACAGTCCTTATTTTCAACCCTATTTGAGTTATTATTTTATTATCTAATTTCATATTTCTGTCCCTGTAGACCACCAACTATTCCTGTTAAAGAGGATGTTCCTGAAGAGTCCAAACCAGAGTCGCAGGCAGCTGACAATATTTCAAAGTTGGATTTTAAAGCAGAGGAGCCAATCAAAGCAAAGGAGCCAGTCAAAGCAGAGGAGCCAGTCAAAGCAGAGGAGCCAGTTAAAGCAGAGGAGCCAATCAAAGCTGAGGAGCCATTAGTTATTGAGAAGACTGACTCTGAAACGTCCGATTTCAACGACCCCTCTGTCTTTGTGGAAATGCAGCGAGCTAAGTCTCAGATGACGGGCCAGGAGACGAAAAAGACCTCCACTAGACCAGTTAGGACTTCAGGGTTACAGAGCCCAACCTCTGCAACAGGAGGCAAGACCAGAACTATGATGGTAAAGGCAAAAGTATCCACAGATGGAGCCAAGAAAGACCTAACAACAAATCAGAGAGATAGCAGCAATGATAGAACTGTTTCAATGTTACCAACACTTAAGGATCAAAGTTCACAAAGTTCATCTTCTAGAACTAGGATTCCTAAAAGCTCAACATCACCAGTCACTCCTGATAAAACTTTAGCATCTGAGGCAGCTGGTTCCAGAGTTCGTAGACCAGTCAGGACCAAAGAACCTGTAAAATCTCCAGTCAACACCAAACCAGAAAGAAGGTCTTCTGTAGAGGAAGTCAGAAGAAGAGGAGAGATTTCTCCTTCCAAATCTCCATACAGGACCACTACGAAAACTATCAGTGAAAAGTCAAATGAAGGCAGTACCAATGTGAATATTGTAAATGGTTTGGAAAGCAAAGACAACAGTGTAAAACATGTCATCAACTTGATAGAAAACAAGTCCAGAAGCCGGCTGCCTGTTACCTCTCCAGTCAGAAAGAGGAGTGAGGAAATTCAAGAATCACTATCACCAACTGAGACACAGCCTACTGAAAGTCCTGACAGAGGTGGGCTATGTTTGAACATGCTCCCACTTATAGTATCATATAGTAAATTACCAACAAAAGCTTGGTTTCTTTTCCTTTTGTTGACATGTAACGCACTTGCATTCACTGCTGACACTGCTATAATGTTTTGTTTTTTTTTGTTCCCAACAGGACCCACATCACCCAGACGCTTATACAAAAGAATACATGAAGATGAGACAGCTGGCTCTCCTCCCAAGCAAACATCCTCCTCCAGGGTTAGTGATTTGAAATACAGAAAGAAGGAACCAGTGGACCCCCCATCGCCAGTCAGTAAACTCCCAACGCTCGGCCAGAAAACTTCCAAAACTAAGTTAAAAAGAACTTCCCCAACGACGCCTTTATCACCTACATCCAAACAGAAAGACTCTCCTGTCAAAGAAGATGTTTTAATAGCTGATGTGGAAAAGGACAATAACAGCAATTTATTAACTAAGACAATCACTCCAAATGTTGACAACACCCAGTCCACTGCAAATGAACTTAAGGTAAAGGAAGATAGCACAACACAGTCTGCAAATGAAGAGATTTTGTCAATAGAAAACAGCAGCAGAAATGCCTTTATAGATGGGAGTGGCTCTGCCCCTGAGGGTAAATTACATTCACGAGAAAATGCCTCAGTAATAGATGATTTAAGACCAAAGCAAATTCAGGAAAATCTAGACTCTTTGGACATGGAAACACAAGCTAAAGTAAATAGCCACAAGGATGAAATAGATACTAGCACCAAACCTGTTATGCCTGACGTGACCAATAGTGATATCAAACCAGATCAGGAAGTTGTATTGTCAAATTCAGCAACAAGTGAGGTGGAAAAAGATTTTATAGCTAGTAATCTTATCGTGGAACAACGTTTAAAAGACCCAGCATTGGCACCAGAGCAACCACTGTCATCTGATTCTGTGAAAAATGATTTACTAGAAAAAAGTTGTGAGGACACTGGCTTGAAACCCACTGGTATTTCAGACATTCAAAGTGTGACTGTCAGCGAGACTCCAAGTGATGTACTAAACAAAGAGCCCATTTTTTTGTCCGAGGATGTTACAAAAAAGAGTGAATCACAGCCAGATGACAGCCGTTTAACAAACGAAATTGAGCGTTCAGAAATTTGTAGCAAAGAAGAGCCCAAAGTCATAACAGTTTTGGAAGAAGTAGAGCAATCCACCCCATTGCAAGATCAAATATCAAATTTATCACCAGATTTGTCCAAAGTTCCAACAGAGGATTTGAATGTTCAAGTAGACAAAAGATTGGAACTGGAGGAGGAAGAAAAGGTAATCAGTGAAATTATACCAAAAGCTGAGGCCAGTTTGAAAGAAAATGAAACTAAAAACGACAAACAAATGAATGTGCATATTAAAGATTCATCGTCGGAGGAGAAGAATGAAGGCCCTGGTAGCAAAACTGAATTAAGTACAGAAGAAGTAAGCGATACACCAGCTCAGATTTCAGTTACTGTAAATGACAAGTTAGAAAATGTGGATTTGAATGCTGATAAAATTTTGATAAAAGGTGACACGGCCAAGCAAGAAAACACTGAAACAGTAATCGTTGGAGGACTGTCTCAAGAATCTAAAGCAGTCACGGCTGAAAGTGAAACAAAGGAAAATGCAAAAAATGATTTGTCAGTAAATAGCGTGAAAGAAACTACAACAGATAATGATAGTAAGGCTCAGGTTAGCATCCAATCAGATCAAAAGCCAGCAATTGTTCAGGAAAAATCTGAAATAGTGTCTGAATTAGAATTAGAAATGAGTGGCAAAACTGCAGTTACAAATTCCAGTATTGAATCATTGGACTGTGAAGTGAAACCAGTGACTGAAGACAATACGCCAGTAGCTGACACATTGAGCACAACAATGAATAAGGAAGATGAAAGTGAATTAGCAAAACAACCAAGGGACTCTGTATTTTCTGTTAGTGAAGTTAGTAAGCTGTCAGTAGAATCTTCAAAGACAGAAATTAAAACTGAAGCCCAAACTGACCAAGTAAATGGGATTTCTCCTGTGAAACAAAATGAAAATATCAAATTAGAGTCTCAGAATGCAACTGTTGTCAAAGATGGTGAGAAACCCAAAGAGCCAGCGCCCAAGCTTTGTGACAATGAGAACCAAGAGCGTGACTTGAAATCGGTGACTGAAGATATTACGTCAATAGTAAACACACTGGACATAACAATGAATAAGGAAGATGAAAGTGACTTAACAAAACAACCAAGGGATTTTGTGCATTATAATAGTGAAGTTAGCAAAAAGGAACAAAAGTCCAGTCCAGCAAAGACAGAAATTTAACTGAAGCCAAAACTGATAAAATAAATGAGGTATCTCCTATAAAACAAAGTGAGAGTATCAAACTGGAGTCTCAGACCGCTCCTGTTGTCAGTGATGGTCAGGAATCCAAAGAACCAGTGTCCCAACTTTGTGACAATGAGAACCAAAACCACAGCTTGAAATTAGTGACTGAAGATCTTACACCTTTAGCAGACAAAGTGAGCACAACAATAAGTAAGGAAGGTGTAAGTGAAATAACAAAACAACCAAGAGACTCTGAAGGTAGCAAGCAAAAACAAGAGTCTAGTCCAGCAGAGAAGGAAATAACTGAAAACAAGACTGACAAATTAAATGAGATATCAACATCATCCATCACCACGTCATCAGATATAACACAAAATGAAATTATTCCACTGGAGTCTCAGAGCGCACCTGATATCAGTGGTGGTCAGGAAGTCAAAGAACCAGCGTCCGAGCCTTCTGACAATGAGAATCAAAACCATAACTTGAAATCAGTGACTGAAAATCTTACACCTACAGCAGACAAACTGAGCACAACAATAAATAAAGATACAAGTGAATCAGCAAAACAACCAGTGGATTCTGTACAGTCTGATAGTGAAATTTGCAAGCAGGATCAAAAGTCTAGTAAGACACTGAAAATTGAAGACAGCAATTCAGTGGCAACTGTTGATAAAGCAGTTTCACAAGTTTTAAGTATTAAAGATGACAGCCAACTATCTAATCTGCAGGATGAAACTAAATTAATAGAATCCAAAATGGACATTAGTTCTCAGAGTGAAAAACAGAAAATAGAAGAAAAAATAACTGTACCTCTACAGGAAATTAAAGAACTAGAGACTCCAGAAAAACTTAAAGAAAATGAAAGTAAAATTGAAAAACACACATCAGATAGAGCTCCTGATGGCACTGAAGCACCAGGACTAAAAACAGAGCCAGAAGTGAGAATTGAATCAATTTCCCCGACTGAAAAAATTAATGACATTTCTCCCAAGAAACAAAGTGCACTTGTTATCAGTGATGGTCAGTCACTCAAAGAATCTGTGTCTTCACTTTTTGACAATGATAACAAAGAAGAGGACGATGTTATAGTTGAAAAGATTATCATAAAGATGCATAAAAATGACAAGAACACCAGAGAAATCATCAAAACAACTGAAATTGTGAAACCAGAGATATTAGGAGACAAATCTATGAACTGTTGGACAGAATCATTAAAAGGTGATGACACTGGGAAAGCATCGTTGATGAAGGATTCCCCGTCCTGCTGGTTAGATGTTGAAAGTGGTCAAAAACAGTGGCGAAAGAAAGAGCACAAGCGCAGACTGGATGCTTCAGCCAGTGAGGACGAGTTACTGGACTCAGACGATGTGGAAGATTTTATTAAAAGCATAAAAGAAGGTGGCATCCCTTTCTCACTCCCCCCGAAAAAACATATGGGCAAGAAGAACCTGTCTCCTCCCTTTGCATTGCCAGCAATCAAGGAGGATAACTTTGAGAAAACATTTGATCCAGAACAATTCCACTTTGGATTAGGAAAAAATGATTTCTTCAAGGATTTGTCTCCAGCTATGGCAATCAAACGCGCTGCAGCAAAAGAGGAAAAAACTCAGGAAAATGGATCACAGAATAAAATAGCAGAAAAAGACAAGGCACCTATTGAGGTGAATGGCAAAGGTACAGCTGAAGAGGGGATTTTGAATGAAGGTGGACTTGAAGAGGGAGTAAATAATGGGACTGGGAAGCGCCACTCTCGCCTGGGCCGGATATCCATTCTCTCCAGTCTTCTGTCATCCAGGTCCAACAGGAACCAAAAAGAGGAACTATCCCCTACCCTGAGCGTATCTCAATCCACAGTTCAACAACAGGATGTGCCCATAGGAGAGAAACAGGTCTCCTCTCCTCTGTCTGACATCAGAGCTGATAAGGAGGGCGTGAGGACTCCAGATCAGACCTCACCTTTCTCCCCTTTAAGCGAGAGCACTGGCAACAGTGAGTCACCATTTAGTCCCTCCTCTGCTCCACAATTCCCCGTATTCAGCGAAATCAAACTTCCTGACCATTTAGAAAAGTATCTCAGGAAGACAAAGGGAGAGACAGAGAACCTTAAGAGTTTGGAGCAACCTAATAAACCAAAAATGGATCTTGGCACAAATACAACTGATAAAACTGAGGTAGACACAGCCCTGACGAGCCCAACAACTCCAACGCCAACTCCAAAGTTCACCCGGCAGTCTTCTCTAACCAGAACCACTCCGAAGGCCAGAGCTAAGAGAAAGGTAAGAATCAGACATATTCACTCACATAATGGTGGCTAGAGACAGTATTCACAGCCTCAGTCTCTTTTCTAAGTTCTGTTTGCATGCATCCACGGAAACCTCACTTTCATTTCCTGTTTAATAACAAGGAAATGAATCATCTTCAAGTAGTGACAGGCCAGAACTGTGCCCTGCTCTGAACATTTTGGTTGTGAAATGAAAAGTGTCAGGCACATGCAGAGGGGGCCAAAACTCAGTGCCATTCATTCAAATGCCTGAAACGATTTTGCCTTTTTTCTTTTTACATAGGCAAAAAAACAGTAAGTGCCATACCTGTACACACAAGTAAAGTCATAAATGTATATGCAACAAACAAATTGATACTTCTCCTATTAACATGTGACTATAAACTTTTTTTGTATTTTGCCTCTCTATTCTGCCAGCCTCTCTCTGCACAGTCCTGAAAATATGGAGACGTAATTTACATAAATTCAAAAACGTGAAGCTATTTAAAGTACACATTTGTGTGTTATGACACCATGTTAAAGCTCCATTTAAACTGTGTTAAACCTCCTTTTAAAAACGTATGTGTATGCATGCATTTTTTTTTTTTTTTTTTTACAGGTTCCAGTTATTAGAGGGGTTCACAGAAGACCAGGGAAGGTATGTCTCACTTGTGCATTTATGTGTGTGTTCTGTTGTCATTTTATTAAATTATTTCTTCTTAAATTTGTCTTTGTTCCAGCTTGTCATACACGAACAAGCTGAGTTTGCAGGTGAAGCCTTTGAATTGTACCGCAACGTTGAAGATGCTACTTCACTGAAGCTATCACCTGTCATATCTGTCAGAGTCATCAGAGGATGGTACAAATACTGTTGTTATTCTTTGTTATTAACTAGTTTATAATGCTAACATGCACTTATTGTCTGTATATTGTCTGTAAAATGTATACACATTTGTTTTTATAGCTGGCTGCTGTATGAGAAGCCTGGGTTCCAGGGTCGGACCATTGCCCTGGATGAAGGCACCACAGAGCAGATTGTGAACGTGTGGGCAGAAGAACCTTCAGTTTCATCGGAAAACTTAGATCAGCCCGTGCCCACAGTGCCCATGGTCATAGGGTCTATTAAACTGGCAGTTATGGTAAGTGTGCTTGTCACATGATTTTGGCATATTGTTTTATTATGTAATTTTTGAGTGGTGTAGTTTGTCTCTATGGAGATGTTACAGCTGTGCCTACAATGTCCCATTGTATGCTATTAAGCTTTTCTACATTCATGGAGATTTTTTTCGAGGTATTTTAGAGCAATAAAACGTAATTGAATAGACTTTAAAGCAGCTCTGCTTGTGTACAAGTCTCTCCATGGCTGAGCACCAAAGTACATCTGTGACATGTTAGTGTCATATGAACCATTTCGCACTCTGAGGAGCTCAGGGACCGGCCTCCTGCTGGTGCCCAGAGTCAGGACTAAACAAGGGGAGTCAGCGTTTCAGGTTCATGCAGCTAAAACCTGGAACAGTCTTCCTGAACATGTGAGACAGACTCTTCTGTGACGCTGTTTAAATCCAGGCTCAAAACATTTCTGTTTAACTGTGCATATAACTGAAAGGTTTTCATTCCGCACTCTTCTCTCCAATTTATGTCTCTCTTTTTTAATTTTAATCTTCATGATTATTTATGTTTTGATTTGTTTTTATTATGATTTTAATGTATTTCTTATTCTGTAAAGCACTTTGAATTACTTTGTGTATGAATTGTGCTCCTTGCCTTGCCTTGAGTAAATGCTAGATAGGTCAGTTTAATGCCATACTGCGGAACATACCAGGAGATGCAATAACATTTCCTGGACACAAGCCCCCCCCACACTTTTAATTTGAACATGATGTGGTTTTGTGTTTTAGGATTACACTGTGCCCAGAATCGACTTGTTCTCAGAGGTGAATGGTATGGGAATAATGATGTCCTACGATGATGAGGCTGTAGAGATCGGCTCATATGGAATACCACAAAGCACTGGCTCCATAAAGGTCCATTCTGGAGTGTACGTTCAGTCTTATTTATGTCTTTACTAACTTATGTGATACAGTGTGTTCTGGTCATAAGCCTGTCATGATAAAAAAAATTAAAATTTGAGCAATATTTAAACAAATTTATGCCACTGTCCCAAGAAGAGATTTATACCACAAAAACTATTTCTACATCTACAATATGTTTTGTATTTGTATTCTTTAGTACTTAGCTTGCATATGTAATGAGTCATAGAAGTTATTAATTCAGCTTTTATGACTCAGATCATATACATATTAAATAGCCAAAAAATAACCACCAGTTTCCTAGTAGTGCAAAGAAAAGGTATCCATGATAAATACTGATTCCAAAAATATATTGTTCTAACTTTCATACTGAACGATAAGTCAGTATAGTAATAATGACAGGCCTATTTGTGCCTCACATCTGATTAGTATGCTACTGCAGTTAACTCTGTTCAAATCATGAAATAAATTCCATAAGTCTGAGAAAGTTACTAATCTTTTTTAGAAATATCGGCCAAGAAAAATATTTTAAAGCCCCTGGGTCACAGTTCAGCATCTGTTTTCTGTTCATAAAGGCATGCATACTATCAGCTGCAGTACTTTTTGGCAAGAAGATGAAAATGGCATGTTGTCTCAAAGGAAACAGTAAAGTTAATGCCATAATTCTGTCTCAAAAAAGCTTAATTGTCTCTTTTGTCTTCTTAGGTGGCTGGTCTACAGTGATCCAGGGTATGGAGGTTTTGTTGGGGTCTTGGAGGCTGGAGAGTACCCTTGTCCTGAGAGCTGGGGGTTTCCACAGCCTTTCATTGGATCTCTGCGCCCTCTGAGAATGGTACAGATGATTATATCCGCACACTACAGCACTAAGCAGATGTTGAATAAGATATGAAATGAAAAGGCTGTTCACGAAGAGAGCTATACTTTTCAAAATATTTTAACAGCACCAACATTATAGCAGATAAAATACTTAAAGGTTGTATAGAGGATTTTCCAAGGAACGAGAAATCCAGCGATTGTTTGTCCTTTTTCAAATGTTGCGCATGCGTGAAACCACCCCCCCTCCCCCACAGCTCCCTACGTAGAAACGCCTCCTCCTTACGCCAGAAACAGGTTTGTTTACAGTCGGTGCGCTGCACATGACTTGTAAACAACTAACTACAGTGTTGGTTAGGCAAGGCGGAGAAGTGAGGAGCGGGGGGAGCGGGTGCGCGGACATTTCGTGCACGGACAAGAAGTGAGGAGCAGGGAGAAGAGCGGAGCAGGGAGAGGAGAGAGGAGAGGGGAGCGGTACGCGGAGATTCCGTGCCCGGAGAAGTGAGGAGCAGGGGGAAGAACGGAACGGGCAGCGGGGACAGGAGCAGGAAAGGGGTGCAGAGAAGAGTGCGCGGAGATTGAGTGCGAATGAACTAGCTACAACACGCAGCAGCAAGCGGACTCTTTCTTTGCCTTGAAAATTACGTTTTCAGACATAGGATATCGCTTTCGTGTCCTGAAAAACGTTTGACTAGCTCTTGGAAATAAAGTACGTTTTCATAATAAGCAGAAGTGACCTGTCCAGGAGTAATTTGGCGACCAATGCGTCAGTCTTTAGACCCTGCGTCTGCTTCAGTCGCGCCATCGCTGGAATGAATCTTCAAGAATCACCCTAGTTTGGCTTCGCTGCTTTTCCCCTTGTCTTCTTCTTTCAGCAATCTCAAAAACTGACTTTCTTTTGCGGCTAACTGCTCCTGGATTCTTGTCTGCCATTGCAACAAATTTTGTGCTAACTGCGAGGAAGATATAGGTCAAAAAAAGCCGCTAAGAACTGTTGCGTTGGTGGAGTAAACAGCGTCTGTGCGTCTTGCGTCTGTGCGACTGGCTGTGACTGACAGGCGTACGTAAACCACGTAATGGCAGCGCGCAGGCAAGTCAGTTACGCTAGAAACGTAGGGAGATTGATTGACAGCCTGTCAGCTAACAGATAACGAGGCAGTGTCGTTATCTATTGGCAAATGTTTAGCTGGCCCCACCACGTCCAGAGTTGATGAATTTTTATTCTTTTTTTTTTGGTCATCATAATTACAAGGTTACTGCACCTCTATAATGCTATCATTGACAATTTGAAACAAAACAAAAATCCTCCATACAACCTTTAAAATAGTATTATGCAAAACTAAACATAACGTCAGTTTGAACCTGGATTTGAACTTTGTCAAAGGCATCAGTCACATTTTCAGGAAGACAGGAAGTCTTAACTGAAATATTAATAGTGCTAATATAATAATTTGCTTAATCAATGAGATTCAGGAGATTGTAAAACATTTATCAGACTTATAATAGCACTTACCATTAAACTAGAATGTAGAGTTTGAGTCAAGGTCTGTGTATTGTATGTGTAGTAAAAAATTTTTGTTTTTTTTTTCTTACAGGGAGGCATAAGGGTGGATCATCCCAATGAAGTTAAGGTGTGTTTTGAAAGCACTTCACTTAAATGCACCGTACATTACCGTTATTGTTATGGGTAACCACAGGGAGCTTAAAGATGTTTTTATGATATAGAAAAACATTTAGGACTGGCACATAGGATTCTACAAAGAGCCACAAAGTCAGACACATTGTTCAGTTCTGAATAATGTACTGGGCTCTAATCTCAGGTTAAGAAACACTGAAACTTGTTATTGCACGCCATTTGTCTAGTACAATTAACAAGACCATACACGAAAATATAGCAAACAATGAAGCATCTATCATCTATATTGTTCTAGTAAAGAAATTATGTTATGTATTTAATATATCTATGTTAATGGTAAGTTTGTTCAGTAAATATTATAAATCATAACTTTTTATTGCAATTCAAACTCACAAAGATTTTGTAATATGGGCCACGGAATGAATGGCATTTCAGCATAGGACAGGGAAGGGCTCAGAAGTCATAAAGCACTCGTTGAGATAAGAGTTCCAGCTGACGACCAAGTTTAACCCTCTCCTCTCTCTCCAGGCTCTTGTGTTTGAGAAACCCAACTTTGAAGGAGAGTACATAGAGGTAGACCATGAGGTGATCAGTTTCAATGAGATACAAACAGAAGAACACACAGACAACAAGAAAGTACTGTCTTCGGTGGGCTCTCTTAAGATCATCGGTGGACTGTGAGTGTGATTTCAACATCAATCATTTATTTTTGTTTTATAATTAACTTATGTATTAAAATGCTCATATTGTTAAGGAAAGACAGAACAGAGGGTAAATAAAAATGTAATGGAAATAACCTATACAAATTTAAAACATTTAGATAATTTTAGACATGTATGAAAAAATAAACCATCCCACTGCTTTATTGACTGTCAGTTTAAAAACTCATGGTCATGGCTCTAAAATATTAAGTTGCAAAACATTATAGGATATTGATTCTTGTTTACTGTTTTCTGCAGCTGGGTGGGCTATCAGGAGGCAGATTTCGAGGGTCAGCAGTACATTTTGGAGGAGGGGGAGTACGCTCACTGCAAGGACTGGGGAGGGGCTGAGGATGGGCTCCTGTCACTTCGACCTGTTTACACTGTAAGTACAAAATTAGGGCAGATGTTCTTTGTTAATCTCTTCATAACATTGAATTTTGATTTGACTCTGTCTTGCAGGATTTCACCTCACCCCATATAAAATTGTTTGGCGACAAGATGTTCAAAGAGTTGAGCCTCAACATGGACCTGATGGGCCCCATCTTTGACTTTGAACCAGTCGGACACAGCACAAAAACTCAGTCTATCAATGTCCAAAGTGGAGTGTAGGTTTTATATAACAAACACATGTGTACAGAAATAACTGAGTATTGTGTCACTAAATACACACAAGCATACACCCCTCTACACAAACACAGCTACATACATTTGTACTGTTGCAGAATAGCCCATAGCATTAACATATAGCTCATATAGCTCATTTATCAAACTTGTCAGGGAGGTCTTTGCTCAGTCTCACTGTAATTACTTTACTGTATATTTTTCATGTGTCTGTGGCAGTTGGGTGGCTTTTGAGAACCCAGGGTTTTGTGGAGAGCTTTATGTTCTTGAGAAAGGTCTTTACGCAACTCCAGAAGACTGGGGAGCACCAAACTTCAAAATATCGTCCATACAACCTGTGTTCTATGTAAGGACAAAGTTGAGGTTTGAATGTCATTTTAAATGGGCCTTTAATTTAATTATTTTATTATTTTTGTCTTGTCTGACCCTCAGGATTCAATGAACAACCGATCAAAGTTTAAGGTACAAATACTGTAACCACATTACTTGGTAACACTTTATAATAACTGCACTTGAATTAGTCTTAATAAAGCATGAACAAAGACTTAGAACTGGAATTGGGGTTAGAATTATTCAGGCATATTAACAACTAATGACTAGTTCCTTTAAGTAGTTAAGTAAGTAAGTTACTAACCCTGAATCACTGTTAATAAACTATTTGTTCTCTGTGAATTAATTCCTTATTTATTCTTTATTAAGGATAATTAAGGTGTAGTTATTGAGTGTTATCCATTACTTTATTTACAGATGTATCATGATAAAGATATCATCATATTTTTCCGTTTGTTTCAGGTTCAGTTGTTTTCTGAGCCAGACTTTCAGGGACAGCTTGTGCTTCTTGATAATAGTGTGGACACTCTGGATGACTTTGTGCCCAGGTCCTGTAAAGTGCTGTCTGGCAGGTAGGCTCCAAACACAGGAAAATCATTACACAATACGTTATGTGCTGCTCGGACATTTAAAAGGGAATGTTTAACCCATGTGGCTCTGTGTTCCAGCTGGGTGATGTATGAAGGGGCACAGTTCAAAGAAAGAATGCATGTGTTAGAGGAGGGACTGTACCCCAACACAGAGGCTATGGGATTGCAATCTGAAGACACTATAATCCGCTCTTTACAGACAATTGGACATGTAAGTACCAAAATATATATACATGTTTAGAACTGATTCATTGATTTAACCTCGTGTTTTCTTTTTAGGAGTTTTCTCTGCCATCCATAATGTTATTCAGTAAGGCAGGCTGTAGAGGCCGCAGGATAGTGTTGACGAATGGGATTGTGAATTTGAACAAGACAGGACACGATGGATGTGTGCGCTCCCTGGTGGTGGAGGGTGGAATGTACGTGTCTTTAAGCAGAATTTCACTGGTGGTCTTACATTATTTAAAATATTACTTCCTTCTCTCAGTGGGAATATGAATATCTATGTTATGAATATTTACTTTTCCACAGGTGGGTCATCTATGAAAGCAGCAACTACCGCGGTCGACAGTTACTTCTGATGCCTGGTCAAGTGGACGACTGGTGTCAGTTGAGTGGATGGGAACAGATAGGATCTTTGAGACCATTAATTCAAGTAATTAAAATACAAATTTAACTACACCTATTATAAAATGCCAGTAAGTAACTTTTTCTTTTTTTTTGTTTCAACAGAAAGAGCAGTATTTCCGTCTGCGCAGTAGAGAGAATGGACACGTGCTCTCTTTGACTGGAACTCTGGATGACATAAAACTGATGAGGGTTCAAGCTATACAGGAGACCGGAAGCATGGAGCAGGTGTGGCTCTATCAGGACGGGCAAGTCTCCTGCAAGGTACTCTGTTTTGTTCTATAAAAATTAAATCTGCTAAACCAGAGATTCTCTACATATTTCTCTCAATGACCTCTACTATAGCAGTGGATACATTGGTTACCTAAATATCCTACAATATACTGTCTTATAAAAGAAAATAATGGTTTATGGCTAATAAAGATGTCATAGCCCAGTAGTCATAGAAATTTAAAAAAAAATTGTTCAAGATGTCTAATTTAGACCTCTTAGTAATATATTCAATGTGCTAAATACGTGAAAACAAGGGTGTGACAGTAAGGACAATGGAAAAGGAAATAACATTACGCCAAAGTGTACTCCAGAGATTTAACAAGCGAGTTCATTATGTTAAGGGTTCAGTTGTAAGAAAAAGTTAGTGTAATTTAAAAATAGTAGTTAAAGGTTCACAGGTTACTCACTGCAGAGCAATGTTTAAAAAAAAACACACACACACATTATTTCATGCCTTCTTAATAAAATGTAATGCTTGTTGAATTTGGTATATCTGTTTGCTGAGTATTTTGGGAGCCAATATAAATAGGTCAACCCTTCATATGAAAAATATAACATAAATGACATTGATGTGTTGCCTGTAGCTGCTAGAAGACTGTTTCCTGGAGACCACGGGCGGCATGCTGATGGCAGGAAGCCGCCTGTGTGTCTCTCCCAACAAAGGAAAAGAAAACCAACTATGGAACTTCACCCCCGACGGGTTAGTGCGCTGCCATCTGCAACGTGATCTGGTCCTGGAGGTCAAAGGTCAGTCATCATTTTGCCATGGTTTTTATTCCTGTTGCATTTTGTATGTAGGTCAAATAATAAACAAGCTGTTGTAGTTTAATCCAACAGCTCTATCTTTTGTGGGAAATAAGAAATGCAACAAGTATTGCCTTCACCACATCAAAATTAGAACTGAACTTGGGCTAATCCTGGAACTAAACCAAGACTAGGCCAGGACTAAACTAGGACTACAACAGGACCAAACTAAATCTACATTAGGGCCTAAACCAGAACAAGTGTGAAGGCATCCTACATCATTATATTATATTATAATTAATATACCTTTGGCACTGTCTTTCAGGTGGACACCAGTTTGACAAGAACCAGGTCATTCTCAATCAATTTGATAAAAGAAAGTTGAACCAGCGATGGATTTTAGAGATCATCTAAGTTTCACTGCATAAGCATGTCAAAGAGCACCCCAAAGACCTGTTTATGTCATTTGAAACAATATACCTTGATGGTTCACAGTGTAATGAGACTCTGCCCTGTATCATTGCTGCATTTAGCTCCCCCTTGTGGTACTTGTGGTACATGTCAGGTCTTCCAAACATGAAGTCCTGCCTTTATTCAAAATGTAAATGTGGTTTACATGTTGCCTTTTGTAAAATGTTGTTATTTCTATAGGTTTTTACACTTTGATACATACTTTATAACACAAGATTGTATATAGAATATAATGGAAAGCAAGCATTTTGTAATTAAATTTTTTTTAAAATGGCACTGCCCACTGTGACTGTAAATATGTAAATATAAGACACAGCTCTCATGAAACAAAATACCAGATTTACAGATTTGTGTGTATATTTCTTTATTAAAAATTAAATTAGCTTTCTTTTTTAAATATGTACCAATGTCATTATTTTACAAAGACAACTGTCATCAATTGATAGAAATATGTAGAATAAGTCAAAGAAAATTATGTTTTTGTACAAAAAACACACAGGAAAAGCAACAGAAAATGTGATCATTGCAGTAATACTGTAGGTTCAAGTGTATGTAAAGCAGCAAAAAGACAGCATATCACGTGTTATGAGATATCTCCTGGTTTACTGATTTGGACAACTGTTTTTCCTCGAGCGTGTCCTCTCTCTATCTTCTCAAAAGCCTTGGGAACCTCAGAAAAGCTGAAGATCTCCTCAACAACAGGTCGGATCTAAGGAAAAAGAGGAAAGCTGTTTATATCATGTGTAAAGTGTGGCTCACAGTTATTTGATTGATTTGATCGCACCTAAGAATTTGAACTTTGAATAACAGGATCTGTGAAACATGTCACTTCATACCTGTCCTTCATCCACCATTTCTCGTATTTCATCAAGTGCTGGGCCACTTGGAGCAAACAATCCCCATCGATAATGAACTCCTTTTATAAGATGCTAAAGAAAAATAAGAAGATATTGTCACAACCTGCTATTTAAAATGAATCCGAAGAGAAGAGAAAATGTCACCAACTCTTTTGTAGTTAAGACACAGAATTTTTCATTTAAATGAGCGCAATAGGGAAACTGCCCACTAGATGGTGCTATAAGTTTTGTATTAATATGCAGGTTGCAGTCAATTCTCAAACAGTTAGAAATACTCTGTTGTCAGAATTAATTTAATTAATACCTTCTAAGAAAATAATGTATTTAGGTACATCCTTTCTGTTCTGTTGTTTGTGAAGACTGAAAACCTAAGATTCGATTTAAACATCCTGAACAACCTTTCACATGACTGAATAATCTTTCAAAAATAGCTACACTAAGAACAGTGACACACTCTTGTTACACTTGTGGTAATGACACAGGTGTAAAATTTGGTGATGACTTGTGGCAGTGATGCAAAAAACACCAATGCATCTTCTGTTGCAGTGCTGCTGTGGTGAAAACAGTCCCCAAAGCAAACTGTGGCTTCAGCGACAGGAAACCACAAGAACACGGGGGAACAATGACGCTATTTTCACAACTTTATAGATAAAAAGTAAAGACTTTATAATAGCAGATATGTGCAAACTAATGACACTTACCATGCTATGGGGCAATGGTTCCTTTTTCTAATAAATCAAACAGGAAGTTGCTGTGATACGGTATAACTCACTTTGTAACTGAACACTGTATGGCTGAAGTTAGGAAGACATTAAAAAGGCCTAGGATTTCTAGAAACACCACGTTATAGTAATGTAGGGCATTATTGTATTCAGGCTCTTTACATGAGTTTGGGCGCGGGCATCTCAGTGTTAGGTTAAAGCACTCAAGAGAGAGACAGCCCAAACATGTTAAATAATCATGGGGAATGAAACATGAATAAAACAAACACAACTCCTGGAATCTCTTTGATTGGGAAACAATAAAAAGCTTTTAAAGATTGAGCTTGTTTTGAATAAAAAATTATCTTTAAAAGTTAAGTTAACCTTGAGGGCTTTAGTTGTCATGGTAGCAGCGGTCTGCATCATGCCGTCTGCGATCCCAAGTTGGTCAGTGTTCTGGAGGAAGGGGGTCACAAGGGTGACATACTTTGCACCTGTCCATGGTTTCAGGAGTTCTAGTGCCCATTGCTCAGTGTCACCCCCAATGTTATCAAGAATTAGGTCAAATCTGCCACAGAAAACAATAAATACATAAATACATACATACATACATACATACATACAAACATATTAATTCATGTGGTTAAAAACAAATCAGCTAAACTGAAAATATGTCATGTAAGAAATAGATTTTGGGATGTTGGCCTGATTTTGTTACCATGGAAATGAACAAACAAACAGGTGTGATTTATGCATGAAGGGAAAATCCGTGTTGTGTTTTTGATGACACATTTACTTTTCCAATGCTCTAAGGGGCTTCTCCACTGGTCCCGCGGTGTAGTCTACCACATGGTCTGCCCCCAGGCCCCTGACAAACTGCTCGGCATTCTGGGAGCAGGTGACAGTCACATGACCTTTCCAAGCCTTCAGCATCTACAATAAAAATTATCTGAGTAACGTTTTGATCCATAAATGTTTAGTATCAGTATAATCTAAGTTTCATATGTTGTGTTGTCAAAAAGACAGTAATAGACACAAGTAAGACTTAACTACAGGAGCTGTAATGGAGCTGTAACAGAGTGTTTGTGGAGGAGAGAAATGCATTATTGATTTGATGACGTTGTAATGTGAGCTACAGCATTCGGGTCACATGATGGAGCGTGGGATGGTCTGACACTCAGCTGGCCTGCTGTGTAGTCAATTTACACACACTACAATAAATACATATTCAAATAATCTAATTACCTGTATGGCAAATGTCCCCACACCTCCAGAGCCACCAAGAATAAGAATCCTGTAACATATGAACAAGTGTTTAAGACATAAAAGACAGTGGAAAGCACAATAGGATATGTCTTTAAGAATAGTCAAAAATGTGTGTTGACTGACCGCTTATTTGCACAGTTGTCTTTACTGAGTCCTCCAGTGTTGACCAGTGCTGACCAAGCTGTGTTTGCTACATATGGGAGAGACGCTGCTTCTATGTGGCTCAGTGATTTGGGTTTGAGGGATATCTGAGGAGAACAAAAACTGAATAAGCAATTAGCCCTAGTATGCAGTATGAAATTACATAGTCTATTATGTATGGAGATTCATAGTTAGGCCATTATTATGAGCTTTATTTGTGTCACTGGTTTGGTAAGGATAAAAAAAGACCTATCAGGTCATTTGTGAACAGATTTTGACCTACATTTTAATACAACAATGCTTTAACCAATGAATTGCCCCCTATATTGTAGCATAAGAACAAAATTAATTTTGGTAAACATTTTTGTTTAATCAAAGCGTGATCTGATTCTGAGACAATATGCTATTTTGGTGAAATCGTCACAGTGATGTTGAACATAACTCTTCGCAAACACATTTCCTCAAAGACTTCACCTATTAGTCAGCTTCTGTCATGTTCTGAGTAAGATTTATCTTATTTTAAAAAGAAGAAGATGGCTTGTGTTGCCTCTTAATGGCATATACAAATATATTAACTGCATGAATTGTAATCAAATTAAAACTGTGATCATATGCTGGAAAACTGTGACATTATTTTTTGCCATATTGCTCAGCCCTACTTTTGACTGTGAGTAATACCTCATTGCCACTCAACACCACAAATTCAGCCAAACTGCCTTGCTTCCACGGAGGAATGGCCGCCCACACCTGTGAAGTGAAAACAAAACACTAATGTATAACTCAAGTCAAAGCAAACTTCTTCATAATGTTGTGTGGGTGACTGTTGTGCTTTCCTTAACAAAATATAAATGAATAAAGGTTTCAAGACATCTACAGCTACTGAATGACCACGAGTCACTGGGCTTGTTTGTTTGTATAATAATAAGGCTATGCTTCTGTCCAAAGCATTCGTTTACCTCATCACGCTCTTTGAAATACTTGACATCCAAGCCACACTCCATGATGACCCCAGACACATCTCTTCCCAAAATCAGTGGAAACTCACTGCCTGATTGTTTGATATTAAGTGGATCTCTTTTCATTGACATTGTTGCCGCACCATACCCAGCTAAAAAAAAAAAAAAACAGAGGAGAGAGATCTAAAATTAAATAAAATTATTTTATAACAACAACTTCACTAAATTTGCACTAGGAGTTGAATTCTAAATAATATGAATGAATACAGTTAGCTACAGTTGAAAAATGTTCTTTACAGTACTAATACTGTAAAGAACATTTTTCAAATCTATGTGGCAGTTTCTGTTCATCATTTTCCCCCACCCAAAACCACTGTTTCTTCCAAGTTCTAGTGCAGTTGACTCATTTTAAGAAACCACACACAAGTAGGCCTACTGCACAATACTCTTGATATTCAAAACTTATCCATCAGTAGAGATGTCACAACATAACATTTTAGTGAAGCAATTGTGAAAAGAAGAAAATACTTTCACTTACTTTACTATTATAAACACTAAAAACAATGAAATGAAATCATTCATTCACTTTCATTCACATTCCCAATAGATTACTACTCCTCTGGAGTATGTGACCAGTTTTAGGAAATGAAAAGTGAAAAGACAAAAACAGATAAACAGGTAAAATTCTCTAATTCTAATTCTCACAGTTATTCTTTCCTAGTTCTTACTATTATGTTATGACCTAAATGATCACAATTATTGATTATCCATCCAATAATCTTTACATCTCCATGAGTTACAAGAACATTTTCATTCATCATGTTCACGCATCAATTTTGCCCAATTTTTGTTCATTGAAAGACAACTTACCTCTCATCTTGACGTCCAGAGGGTTCAGTCCTGCAGCACACACTTTTACTATCACCTCATTGGGGTAGTTTATTATGGGAAAGGCAGCATTTTTGGTGAACCTTAAAACGTCATTGCCCCCATATTTATCAATGACCCAGGCAGGCATGATGTTCAAACAGCTCTTTGTAGTACTGAACTGTCTCTGCCTGGAAACTACTGAATTTAGACATAACGCCTTGTTTTTAAATAGTAACGTATTGCTTTTATAAGCAAAATGTACAGATCTATTCATAATTTAACTTATAAAAGTAGAAAATGAATGGAGAGCCAAAACGCTACACGGTTAGCTATGTCAACACCAATGTAACCCTTGTACGCATAAACTATTATTAGCCTTTAAATAAAATTAATAAATTACGTCGTATGCAGCTTTAGTTGTTTATAGAATTCATAATCATTGTTTAATTAGAAAAATATGCTAAAAAATAAGCTTGTCAAAATTTCCCTTTTCTTCTAACATGCTGCTTCCGTGTCGTCCTGTGAAGCTGACGCTAAAACGAAATTAACCAATCAAATCATAGCTTTCTCCACCACGGACCAATCAGATAAGACGTTGTTTGGTGAGTGGAATGGAAACAAACATGGCAGCCTCATGAAGTCCTCACATTTAACAAAGGTTGTTGACATTTTAACGATATTATTATAGAAATATCCGAGGAATTATTATGACTATGCTCAGCGTGACAATAAAGGAGGTTTGTACGAGCATATTTTCTTTTTCAAGTCTCAGTGTTCTGTTCATAACTCAAGTGTATTAAAGCTAAAGTTGATATTCAGTGTCGCTTTCTATGCTAATACATTTACATTTTATTCCACAGGCGTCCTTAGCGCTTAGAGAGGGAAAGATCTCTCCTGTTGAACTCTGTAGGAAATGTCTGAACAGAATCAAGAAAACACAACATATAAATGCTTACATCTCTGTGACAGAGGAACAAGCTTTGACACGGGCGCAGGAGGCTGAATCTAGACTTGTTAAAGGTATGAAATTGGCATCTTCATTTAATATTTTCATACTTTCCGATATATAAACTTGCACATTTTTTATCGTCCAGGTTCTCCTAAAGGTTTGTTAGATGGAATTCCTTTTGCAGTCAAGGATAACTTTAGCACACAGAACATCAAAACAACATGTGCCTCCAAGATGCTGAAAGGTTTGTAGAATGTCAACATTATGTTCCACAACACGTAATGAATAATCCAAATTAACATGAACTTGTGTAAACTTATGCTTTACAGACTACACTCCTCCATTCAATGCTACTGTTGTGCAGAAGTTGCTTGACCAAGGAGCTGTCCTATTGGGGAAAACGAACATGGATGAGTTTGCTATGGGGTAAAAGCATTATGTCTTATTTTGCTGTGAAATATATGTTCTTAGTATGTTATTGTATTATGTTATTGTATTATGCTTTTAATTTAGATCAGGAAGTACAGATGGAACATTTGGACCAGTGAGAAATCCCTGGGGTTATGCTGCTCCGTACAGAGAAAACACAGGTCTGGACCCCGACTCTGACTGGGTGGTGACTGGAGGGAGCTCAGGCGGAAGTGCAGCGGCTGTTGCATCACTCACCAGTTATCTGTAAGGACTCAAATAAATACATCCTACTAAGTCCTCTATATAACTTTTCAGGTGAAGTGTACACCACCTGGAGATGTTATTGCGTTACCTGTATTGTTCCACAGTATGGCATTAAATGTATCTTTCTTCCATCTATGAAATTGCAGGTGTTTAAAAATTGTCTTGATTTTTCAATTTTTTTATTTTTATTTTTTTGCTGAGTTGTTTTGCCACAGATCTGATCTGGAACTTAGCTCTAGAATACCATACTGTGCATGTATAACATTCCCAGCAAAGCAATAGAATCTCCATGGAGACCAGCAGGTGGCTGATCTTTGACCACTAAACATACAGTGCACCTATAACCACATTTTCTGCCTCAAATTATTTTAAAATAAATGTTATTACTATTATTTTTTTCTTTTCTTTTCAGAGCACTTGGTTCAGACACTGGGGGCTCTACTCGTAACCCAGGTGCACTGTGTGGTGTTGTAGCTCTGAAGCCCACTTATGGTTTATTGTCCAGACATGGTCTTATTCCTCTTGTCAACTCTATGGATGTCCCAGGCATCATGACTCGCAGTGTTGGTGATGCAGCTTTAGTCTTAGGTAGGAATTGCAGTATGAATTATTTTGAAACCCTTAAATGTGTATATGTGTATTTAGGTGTCTTCAAAAAATACATTGGGAGAAAGTTAAGTTCAGTAACTAAATGCCAGACAACACTTACTTTTATACATTGATAATGACCAGGACATTTCAACAAACATATTTCAGATAATTGTATATAGATAGATTTAAAGGAATGGAATATTCCACATTAGTAATTAAATGAGAAAAGGCAAAAAAAAAACATATACCAGACCTACAACAATCCACATAACAAATCAGCCAAAATATTATATTTATATTGTATGAATATATTTCAAACAGATGCTTTGCAAGGTGTTGATGTAAAAGACTCAACTACCATCCTGCCTCAGTCGTCACTTGCACCATTCCCTGAAGATTTTGATGTCAGTACCTTACGTGTGGGAATCCCCAAAGTAAGTCAACATTCACTGTTACTGTAAATTAGGTTACAAGGCCATTATGAAGCATCATGGCAGTCTATTTATAGTAACAAAGTGTTGTGTGCTGTCAGGAGTATCATGCCCCAGGCCTGTCTAAGGAGACAGTGGAGCAGTGGAGTCGTGTTGCAGACATGTTTGAGAGAGCTGGTGCCCGGGTGGAGCAGGTGTCCCTCCCCCACACTCAATACTCCATTGTGTGTTACCACGTCCTGTGCTGTGCTGAGGTGGCCTCCAACATGGCTCGTTTTGATGGGTTAGAATATGGTATGTACATTCTGCATGTACAGATGTATAGACACTGTGGTATGTTCTGGTATGATTAAATAAACAGTAGAGTTTATTTAATTCTACAGAGTAGAATATTCCAGTAATTTACTATTTACGTGTTGATGACAGGTGTTGAGAAATGTATTTTGATTCACTTTCAAATCACATCTTATTATAATAATAATTGTAAATGGGTTAATCTTTCTGCCTGTAATCCAGTTGATTATTTACCTCACATACACAATCTTTCCATATTTTATTGAAATGTGATATGCCTCCAAGCCAAAAAAGGTGTTATACCATGCATTGTTTATGTAATGTATTCAGGACATCGCAGTGAAATGGACAGCTCCACTGAAACCATGTATGCCACCTCCAGACATGAGGGCTTCAATGACGTAGTGAGAGGAAGGATTCTGTCTGGAAACTACTTCTTGCTTAAACAGTAAGAACAGAGGAAAATCTACTGTGTGCATTACTTGTGTAGCTGTAGATGAATCCCATAATATATTTTTCTCTCAGGAGCTATGAGCATTACTTCTTAAAGGCCCAGAAAGTCAGACGTCTAATAACAGAGGATTTTAAACATGTCTTTAACTCTGGGGTTGATGTGCTGCTGACTCCCACCACTCTATCAGATGCCACTCGATATTCTGACTTTACACAAGAAGATAACCGAACTCGCAGTCTACAGGAGGATGTCTTCACTCAGCCTGTCAACATGGCAGGTACTGTATACAAACAGAATGATCTACTGCATATTTTAGTAATGTTAATGAAATTGTTTGTTTTTGCAATACACTTGCTTTATACAAAATATTTCTAGAGAGAAAGAGAGACACTCAGAGGCACAGGATTTGTTGTTGGTAGCAGGGGTACACTGGTGGCAGACTCACTTCCGTCAGTCTACGTCAAGGCAGCTGTAATTGTAGAAATAGCTTACCACACAAGTAAGGGGTGAACTACTACAGTGTAGCTTTTTGAGAGGATTGTAACACCAATACAGAATGAAGCTAAATGTTATTTGCTAAATGTAATGGCACCAAACAAATTAGCAAAATACAAATAAATTCTCAGTTCAAACTACTCTTAAAAGCTTTCCTCAGTAGTGTATTGTCTTTGTAGGTCTACCAGCTGTTTCTATACCAATAGCTCTGTCCCGGAGAGGCCTTCCCATTGGACTTCAGCTCATCGCTCCAGCACTTCAGGATAAGAGGCTCCTGTCTGTTGCCCAATGGATCGAACAGAGGGTCGCCTTTCCCTCCATCAGTGACTTTGAAGAACCCAGTGAGGGCAGTGAGCAATGCCAAAAGACCATAAGGAAACATATTGTATAATTGTTTAAGACATATTATGGTGACAGTGTGCATAAAACCAAGAATTATGTTTATTATGTAGTAGAGTGCATTTCCTTTACAGCTTCCTTTCTTTAAAGTTTCTTGTCAGGTTATGAATCATTTCTGTATATTCAGGTATATAAAACCACCAAAACCTAGTTAAGTAATGTTTTGTCTATATATGGACATGGCATTAATGAGCATTTTGGTGGAAAAACACTATACAGGGACATTAAAAGTCAGTTAGGATTATTTGTTTTAAATGTTTTCAACAGAAACACAAGAGCACATACGTTTGATAGATCTGCATCTCTCTGAAATTCTCAGTTCTTTACAATCCCCTTCTCTACCATTTTAGTGCATTAACTCCATTTCTGCTTGATTTTGACAATGTAATAGTGAAGTTAGTTTTTATAAACATACTTTTAATACATCATACCTGCTTTGTTGGCTTCTTTCAATGTTTGATTTATTTTTAAACACTTACTTGCTCTTAGGCCCATTCCTGAGTTAAGACATAAAAACTACGAAGATTTTATCAAAGCAATTCAGCAACATGTGACATTATTCCCACCACATTCATCTCAAGGTCAGAGGAACAAAAACAACCCAGCAGTTTCAAGTCAGAACATATAAGCTTCAGTTCATGTGTTCAAAGTTCCATTAAAAGACTATACTATTGTTCTTTTTCAGAAAAATAGCAAGCATAAGCCTCTTCAAGAAAGACTAACAAAATATGTTTAAGTAGTTTAATGGCTATTCAATATCAAGCCATAGTCTGTTATATTTTTATATTTACCTTCCATATTTTGAAATAAATGTGTGCTGTAGTCTATATGTCATATTTTTATTTTTATCATATAAATTCCTTTTCCTGTAACTGTATATGGGCTGTAAGTTGTGTAGTGAAGCGTCATGTTATGGCCTCTCTTAAGATGAGTAGATGTCAATATAGTTTAAGGTACACTTTATTGTCCCCATTGGGAAATTTGTCCCCTGCACTTGACAGACCGATACTAGACTGTCAGAGCAGGCATGGTAGTACCCTAAATAAAACAATAGATTACAGCACACGTATATAAGAGTAGCTTTGGCTATGCTGGTAACTCATAGTCATGATGATGCAACTATCTTCTCCTATTACCTGATGGCTTTTTACTTATTCATAGCACTTTGAGTGAATTGTGAATCTGTGGGAATACAAACAATCAGTTTTCAGTTCTGAATACAGTGTAAAAACATTTGGAGAATGTGTGGAATGCAAAGTCATCTGTGTGTCCCAGATGTCCTTCACCTGTCTGATCCAACCCACCCCCTTTATTTCTTTGTTATTTACTTTACACCACCTCCTTTCATTAACGTAACCTACATGGGGTATCTTGTTTCATTTTGTCAGGGGGAGGGTGGCAGGAAAAGGGGGTTTTAAGTGGTTACACTCTGGTGGTCAGCAAAAGCAGACCTCTTCAGTTTGACCATCTCACCACACTCCACTGGTGCTTAGGTTTCAATGAGCACCTGTAGGAATGTGCCCAGTGCCAGTGTCAAGCCTTGTTTTTCAGATGAAATGGCTGAAAGTGTTGAAAACTGTGTGGAAGACTAAAGCAGGCCAAGATGAGAAGCCCATTCAGAGGTTCTCTAATCCCACTCTGTAGTCTTGTGAAAAACAAGATCAACTATACAATACGACCTTTGTCATGTGATCAGGTGGGGTACAATTCCCACACTGATCTGCAGTGGGCTTGCTTTGGTGGGGGTGGACAGGTGAATTCTACAGGTATACCATCATCTTGTTTAATGGGAAGCCACAACAGTTGGCCTGCATTTTAATGATTTACTCTCACCATGAATAATGCAAAGGTTTCACTTATCCTGTGTACCTACACACTTTGGTACCATGGCAGCATTTAGATTTTTTGAAAATATTTTCTATAGCAACCCCCCCCCAAAAAAAAAAAAAATAAAAATTTTAGCCTGTAGGCCTAACAATCAATCTGCTGTATGTAGGACTACATGTCCATTTATTGTAGAACACCTACCCGGCAATATTTTCTAGGGCTTATGTCTAAATAGACCAACATGACACCAGTTAATCCACATGGCTACAGTTTTCTATGGTGTAGCCCTGTCAAACCCTGGAAACTGGGAAAAATTACACATTCAGGTGTTTCATAATTAGGTCTTTATTGAACTTACAAAACTCACTCTTAAAAGCCAAATCACCTTCTGTACATTTTCATTTTAGAAATTACTAAATTTAAAATCCTTTACATACAATTTTTTATTTAAATTTATCTAAAAGCCTAGGCTCAAGTATAAATTTCAGTGGGTACATGGTAGCCTGTTTCACAGACACGATCATTTCCAGCATAGGAATATATAGTCCATCCAGAGCCGCAGCTTCTGGGCACAGCAGCGGAGCGCATGGGGGTCATGCGCGTTGTGGAACTGGGCATTGGGCTTTACGCGCTTCTTCAAACTCCAGGGAAAAAAAAAAAAAAAAAAAAAAAAAACACGTTTGCGGAGGGATCCTGTCCAATGTTGGCGTTAAGAGTCCAGTGCAAAGATCCAGTCCGCTGGCCATTTAGGACCAGCCGTGGAGGAACCCCAGAGCTAGCGGGAGCAGCAGCAGAAACACCTCCGTCCTCTCCCCAGCGCTCTTGTCCCGAGTGGAGTTCCCTGTCATGTTTTGGTGGCCCATCGATGTGTTCAAAGATACCGTGATCGTGTTAGTGTTCGTGGGAGTCACTGAGGCATTCTGAGCCTGGACCTGTGATCACAGACATTATATATAATGTGTGATTATTCGGCTATAGTCCACTGGAAAATGACAAGTCAAAATATCTTGTTGATTACGCAGAGTAACCTTAAATCATTTAACTATAACACACAATCGTCTCTGAGGCCTCATGATTACCAAAAATGCACTTACCTGTGAGGCGAGCTGGAGCGCAATCAGTAGGGCCCCCAAGAAAACTAGGCACAACTTGTTCATCTTGTCGGGGAGTTGTGACAAAGCTCTGTCTCGACGCTGTCCTGTGCTTCTCAGACGTGGATGCGCTGAATGAAAGAGGAGACGCACACGTGGGTTTTTATACTCCGTGTGACCTCATTAGAGACACCTGCTCAACATCAGTTAGCTTTAGAAACTATCGGAAATTTGGGCATGCTATTATTCTTAGTACTATTATTTTACTATTTTCACTATTTTCACTATATTACAGTTATTTTTCTTGTAGTAGTGTAAGAAAGAAAAATCAAGTCGCATTGCCTTTTGAGTTTTAGCTTAATTATTAGGCCTAGATCTATGGCCATGAGAGTAAGAAATTTTATAACAAATTATTACACTTAGGCAAGAATACACCTGTTTTCATTAATTAGTTAATTAATTGTAGTTAATAAAAAAATTCTTGCAAATTTGGAACTTTAAAAGGACCAATGGGAAATATCGCTCCCTTGTGGCTATTTGTGCATACTACACATAAATTGACACATGTATTTTGGCCTTTACGACTACCCGTAATTGTCCTGTACACAGTTTCTTCCGGAAGAAACACACTGTAGGTAGACAGGTGGAATATACACATATTTTGAAGTGCGCGTTACGTCAAAGGATAAATAAGTGCTTTATTTCAGTCGTTTTTCAGGCCCAGCGCCCTGTCGCTTGCACATGCTGCTGTGCCGGGTTTCTGTGGTGAGCCAGACGCTGGGCAGATGGAGCCGGAGGTCACAGCGGGTAGGCGGCCTGCTCCGCCGCGCTGTGCCGCTCTCCTCCAGCCGCTGTCACGGAGTAAGCGCCGGGGAAGGCTCCGCTCAGCCCACAGAGCCCGCCTCTGTCCAGGGCCTCTACCGGGATTCGGTGCTTCTTCCAAAAACAGAATTTCCAATGAAGCTGGTCGGACAGAAACTTCTGGACAGAGAGGTGGAGATCCAGCAGGTAAGAATAGAGTCCGCCTCGACACAGCATAAAGACATCATATGAACTGGGTTTTGTTTTCAGCACTTGTAAGTTTGGACTGTGTTTCTAGACATGTGGATTTGCAGAGCTGTACTCCTGGCAGAGAGAGAGAAAGGCCAAGAAAGAGTTCTGTCTTCATGATGGACCTCCGTATGCCAATGGTGACCCTCACGTTGGACATGCACTAAATAAAGTAATGCTTTGAATGACACCAAACCAAATGTATTGCCTTAAGTAATATGTATGTATGTTTTAATGGTGTTTAATGCAGATTCTTAAAGATATCCGTAACCGCTTTGAGATGCTGAGAGGTCGACAGGTCCACTATATTCCTGGTTGGGATTGCCATGGTTTGCCCATTGAGCTGAAGGCTCTAGGAGAGCTTGGCACTAGTGGGCTGTCCCCCCTTCAGATCCGCCATAAAGGTAAAACCGCAAGTCTAGACACCAACCAAGTTTTGTGCACATCTGCTTATGTACTTGTTATTTTGTCAGCTCGGGAGTTTGCAGAGAAAGCCATCGCTCGACAGAAAGCTGCCTTCCAGCGCTGGGGTGTGATGGCAGACTGGGACCAGTGCTACTTCACTTATGACGGCACCTATGAGGCTGCTCAACTCAAAGTGTTTCAGGAGATGCACAGTAAAGTGAGGAATCAGGCATACTTCAGTATTAACTTAATACTGTGGAATATTCAGTCAATAATGTTTTACTTTTACAGGAGCTCATATACCAAGACTATAAGCCGGTTTTCTGGTCTCCTTCTTCTAGGTACTTTCCAGTTGACTGCTGCTTTATTATTGCTTTATTACTGCTTTGTTATGTCTTGTTAAACAATGCACATGCGTTTATTTTGATGATAATTTGGAGAACTGTTATTGGTGTGGGTTATCATAGTTAATACAGTTTTCTTATTCTGTAGAACGGCTTTAGCAGAAGCTGAGCTGGAATATAACCCCGAGCATTTAAGCAGAGCCATCTATGCCACATTTCCACTTGTGAAGTTACCCCCAAGTATTACCAAAGAAGCAGGTAAAACTAATATTTATTTTAACTATTCTTAAAAACAGTGTGCCTTACACATGACCTAATTGCTATGTCTATATTAAACAGATGTGGACAATGTGTCTGTGTTGGTGTGGACGACCCAACCTTGGACCATTCCAGCTAACCAGGCTGTTTGTTACATGCCTAATGCCCAGTAAGCTAACAAGATTGTATTTTTGTGGTGTATTTGGAAACCATATCTTATGTATTAATGTTCTTGTTTCATTCTGCAGATATTCTATAGTGAGGAGGCCAGATAATAGTGAGCTGCTGCTGTTGGCCACTGAGCGCCTTGCCAATGTGTCAGCACTTCTGGGCACAGGGCTGGAGACAGTTGCCACTTTCACAGGTAAGTCCTAGTGCTGTGAATCACAAAATGTCCCTGAACAAATGAAGCAATACTCTTGTTATTGTCTTTGTTCAGGTTCCCAGCTTGAAGGCGGGTTCTGTAAACATCCCATTATCCTGACCAAAGAAGTTCCTCTGCTGCCAGCCAATCATGTAACTATGGCCAAAGGGACAGGTCTGGTCCACACTGCTCCGGCTCACGGCATGGAGGACTACAGTGTGGCCTCACAGTTTAACTTATCTGTGGTATGACTTTGTTTTCTTGGACATCTTGTGATGATGTGATTTTCTACATAAGCATAAATGTTATGTGGATCTTTAGGAATGTATAGTGGATGAAGATGGGAAGTTCACTGAATTGGCTGGTCCTGAGCTGCAGAGTCTTTTTGTGATGAGTGAAGGAACCAATAAAGGTAAGATATTAATTATGGCATTTTTAATCTGTTGATTTAATAGAATGAATTATCTTTTCCTCCTCCATCAGTGATCTCCATGCTGAAGGAGAGTGATGCTCTAGTCAAAGAGGAGCAGTGCGTACACAGTTATCCATATGACTGGAGGACTAAACAGCCTGTCATGATCAGACCCAGCAAACAGTGGTTTATCAACACAGCATCGCTCAAAGACAAGGCAAAGGTAAAATGTCATAAACAAAAAATAAAAAGTCTACTTTTATGAGCCTTTGACTATGTCTATGGACCAGTGTTTGCTCGTCATTCCTGTTCACAGAGTTCTACTCTGATTGACTCATGCACATTTGAGTAATCCTGTTTTGTATTGAATTGTATTGACTTGAGTGCTCAGAATGGCATTTTCACTTACCCCCATCTGTGCCCACAGCTCTGTACTTAGTAGCTTTTTTAAGTCAGTATAATAATATAACTGAATACATTTTCAGTAAAAACTAAAAATGCTACTACTTTGAAAAATGGAGGCCTATCTGTTCTGCAGTTATTAATAGGATGTCAATAGACTTATTTCAATTATTTAACTGTTTACAATAAACAAAAAGTTAAATAATTATCTACTTGCTTATAGTTTCAAACTAAATACCTGAAAAAAGCATAACATATCTTCTTGAATAAAATGTTCCTTTTCTAAGGATGTTCTTCAAAAGGTTCGTATCCTGCCAGAGTCGGCACGTGGCAGCATGTTGGCCATGTTGGATAGAAGGACGTACTGGTGCATCTCCCGACAGAGGAGCTGGGGAGTACCTATCCCAGTCTTCTACCATAAAGAGTCTGGACAGCCTCTTATTAACAAGTAAATGCCATTTTCACATTGTTGACATACTTGACACATTTGACCGACCTGTTACTGGGACACATCTTTTCAAACTCGTCAGTTTGCTTTGTCTTTGCAGCCACACTATATCTCACATAGCATCGCTGTTTAAGGAAAAAGGCAGCGACTGTTGGTGGGAACTTCCCATTGAGACTTTGTTGCCTTCAAATGTCCTGAAGAAGGTCCGTCAGAAATAAAATTTTGAATTGAAAAATGTCTATGTTGGTGTGTTACAGGATTATATTTGTTGTTCTATGTTTTCTTAGAGCAAAGCGGGCCCTGTGTCCAACTATGTTCGTGGAGAGGATGTGCTAGACATCTGGTTTGACAGTGGATCCTCATGGGCAGCAGTACTAGAAGGTAAAACATCATAGACCGTTTACTTTTATATGGCCTACTAAATTGCTAACTCCCCTACTCATTATTTTATAGTTTTTCATATGTGAAATGTTAAGAGAGTTTTAGACACACAAATATATTGCCATCGTGCAGCCATTTTATTTTGTGTCATTTTTAGAGGAAATGGAGGAGGAGCCTGAGGAGCCAGAGTCACGTCTCAGCTGGCTCTCTTCTCGACTGCGTAGCCCTTTGAACACAGGTTTAATAAACCAGAGACTGTCTTTTCCCCTTACTCTTTATTTTACTCAGATCTTCCCTTTTGAGCTGTCCCCCATTGTCACTGGATAGTATGAAAGCTATTAACACTTAAAATTGCAGAAATCAAAAGCATTTGAATTTGTAGTTAGGGGAAAAAAAATAAAGCAGAGTTCAGTCCAGGTATTTGCACGCTAAAGGCCTATGTTGTTTAATGGGATGGATCTTTCCTTTGCACAAATGGCTGGATTTCTTTATCTATACTTTCCTGTCTTGCACTGTTTTCCTGTTTTGGAAAGCACTGCACTATTTCAGCTTTTTACTACTAATGTGCTATTTTATGTACCGGTATGTATTTTTATACTAACTAATGACTGATGCCTATTTTCTTCCACTTATCCCCCTTGCTTGTGTAAACCATGTGTATAAAATGCATAATTTTTTTTTTTTTTATCTTCATCTTGATTTTGTTTAGAGTCTGACTCCAGGGCAGATGTGTATGTAGAGGGGAAGGACCAGCTTGGAGGATGGTTTCAGTCCTCTCTTCTGACCAGTGTAGCTGTGAGGAACAAGGCACCATACAAGTCAGTATTTATCCTTACTATGAGGTAAAGTTAATAAAAATGTGTGATTACAGTACAATTGTATAATATTTTGGGCTGTGTTTATAGGTCTCTTGTGGTCCATGGTTTTGCCGTCAGTGAGAAGGGAGAGAAGATGTCCAAATCTCTGGGCAATGTTGTGGACCCTGATACTGTAATTAATGGAGGAAAGGTATTTGTTTACATTATTTGTTATTTTTTTACATATTTCAATACAAAGCGCTAATAGTCTTTTGGTCAGGACTCCAGCATGCCCGCCTATGGGGCTGATGTTCTTCGATGGTGGGTGGCAGAGTCCAATGTCTTCTCTGAGGTTCAAATAGGACCCAGCTCTCTTAACTCAGCCAAAGAAAGCATCAGCAAGGTAATGCTCTATGACGTATGCAGTTTATTCTTATGGTTTAGTATGGCTGTATATTCCTTTAACTATTTGTCTAATATGTTGCTGGCAGTTAAGGAACACTTTGAAGTTTCTACTTGGAAATGTACACGGTTTTGACCCACGCACTCAAGCTGTGGACCCCAAAGAGATGCACTACATTGATCAGTATATGCTCCACCTGCTCCGGGACTTCAGCATCAAGGTATGTCACATTTTAACAAACAAGGTGATAATATTTTTACATATACAAACACAACCTCTCTCATTGTCACATAAAATGTCAAACAATATCTGCATTTGGTTATATCTGCAGGTAACCGATGCCTATACTGAATTTGATGCAGGTCGTGTCATACGTCTCCTCCAGGCTTTTATCACCAGAGACCTCTCTAGTTTTTATTTTAGCATCATCAAAGACAGGTATGTTATGTTGTTATGCACTGGCTGAGTATAAAACTTGTGTATCAGTACTATGTTAATTTATTAAATCATTTTAGACTTTACTGTGATCCAGAAGATTCTTTGGGAAGACGGTCATGTCAAACAGCTTTAGAGGAGATTTTAGATGGTGTAACCAGATGTATAGCTCCCATCCTCCCACACCTGGCTGAAGAGGTGTATCTTCATGCACCTGGTCATGATGGTGCGTGTTCTCTGATAATGTATGACTTTGCTTGTTCAAGATATTACTTGAATACAATAATTTCTTACTTACAGAAGGAGAGACTGTGTTTAAAAGTGGCTGGATCAAGAGCAGTTCTGTGTGGAAGCGGCCTGGACTGGAGGAGGCAGTGGAAGGAGCCTGTGCTATTCGAGACTCTTTCCTCTCGATGATTCCAGGGAAAAATGCTGCTCAGTACGACCTCACAATCACCATAGAGCCAGGCCTACTATTTGAGCTCATGGAGGTAAACTACATGCATGATGTTTTTTTTAATTTGTCAAAATGTATGAATTAAAACCTTTTGTTTCACACTCAGTCTTTACAAGAGGAGCCCATCTCCACCACCTCTCAGCTAGCTGAACTGATGATGTGTGCTAAAGTAAACCTCACCAGCGAGCTGCCCCGTGACCTGCCCTCTGACGCCCTGCGGAGTCATGGGACATTCCTCATTAACCTGGAGGGTAAGGGCCTTGCTTTAAAATGTTCTTATTAATATGTAGTATTTTTAGGAGTGTGGACTTGATCTTAATTGATTTTTATTTGCAGGGGGAATGATCCGTGAAGATAGTCCTTACAGTATCGCTGTGGTGCCCTCCTCTGCTGCTCGCTGCCCTAGGTGCAGGCGCTTCACCTCAGACTCCACAGACTGTTTATGCCCGCGCTGCCAAACTCTCCTGTCACAAACTCAGTGACTGCTTGATCAAAGCTAACAAAACTCACATTACACATTAGGAGAAATTGTTTTGTGATTTAACCAGAAACACAATTTGCAGCATGAAACTGACCTGATTTACATGATTTGAGTGGTTTAAAACAACCTGTCTGTTCCAAATATTACTACCTGGATTTTGCAAATAGATTTGCGAATAAGGGTAGGGAACGTCCACTGAATAATTATATGCTTCAAAAATGAGTCTAGCATACACACCACATACCCCAAGAATTTTCCAAGCAAATACTCCCTCACTTAAATTATTGGAGCGGCTTTAGGTTTGACAATAAGGTTGACACCTTTATTTGTTGGTAGTTAGAATTAAAGTCTAAAGGAACATTTGTCAATTTATAAATGTCACTGTGTGACACCAGTAGTGAGCAATCTGTAAATTAAGTCTGTATTCTTTTTGTGTTATTATAAATGTGGCAAGAAAGGCATTAATACAGCAGTCTTCAAAGTAGAGTTGGAGAGTGACATTTTTTATGGTTTGAGGACACATTTTTGAGAAACCTCTTTATTCTGCATTGATTAGCCCTGTGTGAGAAGATGCATGTTAAACTACAGAATAGAGGGATGTACAGGCACAGCTTTTACATTACGGTCTGCAAATATAAATAAAAATATGTTTTTATAATACATCTGTCCTTACACTAGTCAAGAGCAAAGCAATAACTGAAACATGGCACTCAAGAGTTTAAGTAGTGAGCAGGAAATTTAGAAGATGCAAACATGGAAAAACCCAACCCAAGTGTTATATTAATACACATGCAAAGAACTGACATTAAAAGGGTTAAAAGCTGTTTCCATTATGACCAGCCAGACACTGATGTTTCATTTCCTTTCTGCATTGCAGAAAGTTATGAACATAACACAAAAATAACAGTAAAATACAGTTTGAATGTTTGCAAAGATTTTCAGATATGTGACATGAAAACTTAACACCTGGCTGGTAACACAGGTCCACATTCCATGTGTTAACACAACTCAAAACATGATACAGAGGATGTGACCCCAGTCTGCAGATCTTTTATAAAATAACTTTCTATTGTGATTCTAATGTTTGTCCTGGGTCAATCTTCAGTGGACAGAGCCTCCACAGCCTCCAGAAGGTGCAGAGCAAGGCTGTACTGAGCATGGTTCTCTGGGAGGATCTCAGTCAGGCGACTGATTAGTCTGCTGGTCTGGACCAGGGGCACAGAAGGACAACGCAGCTCACTGGGATCCTGAACACCAAATAAGTCATCACCTTTTAAAACAATAACTTTGCATTAGATACAACTGTTCACCTAAATGAGACTCACCATAGCTTTGAGCCATGTGCAGAGGGTGGGGGGCAGACGGGCCAGCAGCTCCATGGCAGGCTGCGTTTGACTCTGACTGTGCAGCAGAGAGTAGCTCAGTCTCTGTCCAGTTAGAACTAACAACTGAGAGCCAAGCACGTCTTTATCTTCCACCTCCAACATTGCCTGAGAACACACAAAGAATGTTAAATATACTGTACTGTGGGGTTAAAAACAAAACCACACATTGAAATTCTTACATGCCAGTTTCCAATTACAAAATAGTGTTAACTAGCTATATCAAAAATTGATAAGAAATAAGTCATATTTTTATTTTTCTGTACCTGTTCAGCTCTTTGGTCTAGACCCTGATTGTAAAGCTCATACACAAGATGGCGCCGTAGGATGTCTGGATTGACCTGAAGCAGAGAGCCCAGGTCTAGACACAGTGAGGGCCACCAGTCTGCCATTGGTCCATTGGAGGGAAGAGAGGAGGGACCAGAGTCTGAGGAGGAGGAGGGGGTATCTATGGCCTGCACCCAGCTGGTCAATACTCGCAGAAGGAACTGTTAGAACAAACAAAATACAGTACATTAAAGTAAGGAAAAAATGTTAAGTATTTATAGTGCACAAAGTAACATTGATAGTGGGGGTCTGGAACATTTGGAAATGGAACTGGGACTTGACTATGCATTTGAGCTGTTACCTGGTCTGGTGGAGCTATTTGCTTGTTTCTAGGGAGATGGATAACTTTTAATGTCATAGGGCAGAACATTCCAAGCAAAGAAATAACTCATGGAGACTAGCTAGTGGCAGTCCCTGCACCAGAAAAGTTACATAGGGCACAATTCATGTTTAATGGGTTCATTGGTTCATTTCTTACATCTTGACGCAGTGAGACAATTGCAGGATCCATATCTCCATTGGGCATCAGCTGGATGGTTGTTAGATCTCTGAAGAAAGCATTCTTACCCTATAAGGAGACCACATGCAGAAATATTCACATAGGTGTTGATTTATTTTGAGGTACAAAACTTATACAAAATAAAAGTGTGAGATGTCTACCTTGCTGTCAAACAAGCTGAGTGGTTTGACTTTCATACTGAATGTCATAGCCATGTGCAGCAGAGAGGCAAGAAGGCAGTGATGTTGAACAAGAGGGTAATGGACCCCCCTCTGCTCCAAGGCCAGCTCTGCAATGGAGACTGGACCCTCCGCTCCGCTCCACACCTCCTCCACAGAAAACTCAGGAGCTGGAACCTCCTCAACTGCAGAATCAGCCTGCAAACAGATAAACAAAATAACTTAAGAAGTTTTGGTACTTTATTTGATTTAAATACATTTTCTTTATAAATTCAACTAAAACACTCCAGACATTTCAGTTTCACAAGCCCTGGCCATTAAGTTGAAGTATAATAGAGGCCAAAAATATCCCCAGTTTTGAGTATTGAGTAGTGATATTAGTTAAAACACAATATTAGTATTCAAACATTTTCAAAACTACTTGGGCTGGCCATGCTGCATTCAAATCCAGTCACTGCCCAGTCTCCATGCTAAGTCTCAGAGTACAGTTACTTACAAAGTATTTTAAAAATGACAAATGGTACTCATTCTTAACCAATTGTCCAGTCACCTCCATCAGGATCTGCAGCAACTGGACACAACTGCCGAGGAAAGAGGTCACTGCTTTGTCTCCCATCCCCACGTCCTGAACACAGACATTTGTCATAAGAAATATCTGAAAATACAACATATCTTTATGTGTTAAGAGAGATACATACCCGCCGACATAACCGGTCTTTCGGAGCCTTTCCAACCTACAAGAAAAGAAAAAACATGGTATAATTTGGGTTTGAATTAAATTAAATCTTCAGTAGATAATGAATGCACATATGCATACTTTTTCCATAAGAAAAGCAGCTGAAGAAAAACGTTTGACAATAAATGTACTCCACATCATTAACGAAATACCTAGAAATATAAAAGAAATTGGCTAGAGAGTGCAGTTAAATGTTTTTATGACTAAAACAGAAGAAATGACAAATACCGAGTTGAATATGTGGATTGGAGATCAGTTTTAGATGTTCAACAGCCCAACACAAATAACGGCCCTCCTAGAAAGAGACAATAATGTTTGTTTAAGACAGAACAGATTAAACAGATTTGTTTTATGATATTTGTACCTCTGGGTCCTTGTTCCACTGCACCACATATTCCCAACAGCAGTGAGCGAAGAGCAGATCTGGAGAGAGCGAGTTTGGAAAGCGCTTGCACAATGCAACCAACAGCTCTAAAAGATAACAGATAGATGTATTTTAATTGCATTCACATTTAAGTTGTAATAATTTCTCCATGTATGTGGTGGTGTCAGAATGTTCATGAGTTGTTTCTAACCTTCACTTTGATCTTTGTCTTCTTGACTTTTGTTTTCATCCGTTTCTTGTTCAGTCTCTGTATATTTTATATCAAGAATTTCCTTCAGTCGCTCAGGAGCTAAGTTGTGTCTAAATACCCACTTTGAGACACTGTCTGCAACTCCACCTGTATATATATAGACAGAGAGAGAGAGAACACATTTAGTGTGTAGTAAAACTGGTAAGATCAAAGTCTCTTTGAAGGTTTTATAGACCTCACCAGCTCCTCCTTCTAAAAGTGTTTTAATAGAGCACTGGGTTACAGCTCCCCCTGTGGACCCCTGAGGTGGAGGCAGGAGCAGCAGAGTCTGCAGCACTAGCACATCCTCCAGCTGACGCACGCACACCACCCACTGCTCCAGCTCCAGAGACACAGCCTCCCACTCTGACTGCAACTGTCAGCGAAACATGTTTCATGTTACACACAAAAAAATCATTTTCCGTTTAATTCAGTACATTTGAGTGATCCCTTACCTTGCTGTCAGCTCGGCTCGCTATACTGGCCTTAGCAACACGATGGGCCACAAATGCAGCCAACAGAGCTGCAGCTGCATTGTGGGACTGGACACAAGTGTTGCGGACCTGCTGCCACCAGGGGGAAATAGACTGGGTGTCCCATGTTTCCTCAACAGCTCCTAAAGAGCAGAATAACATGTATTCATCAACAGTACGTTAATAAATACATACAGAATGATTTTTAATATGATTTAAATCATACAAACCCTTCATATTGCTTAGTGTTACAAGTAAAGTGTGTAGATTTTGAACAGTCTCCTCAGGTTTCTGCAGTATCTCCTTCTCTCGCAGTAACCACATGCTCAGCAATAGAGACTAAGAAAAAACATACATTAGCATATAAATGAGCTGCTAAGACAACATCAAATAGGTTAATCATATATTAGCATAATGTCACATACCAATAACTGTTGTGGAGTGATCCCGGCTTGCTCCAGTGTTTCACAAATTTTATGTAGAGAACTTTTCCCACACAGGGAGCTCCAAAAGAAGAAATTACCTGAACAAGTATTATGAAACAACAATAACACAAACAGCACAATGCAGCTAGTACATCTCCAATTAAGTTATCAATCACCCTGAAGTACCTAGCCTGTTCCATTCACTCTCCTCTTTGCAGCTGACCCTCAGCGCACCCTCGTCTGTGCACGCCATGTGTGAGAGAAAGGCTGGTGCTGTCAGGGGCAGGTCTGGGGAGTCCTGGGCAAACGTCACACTGGGTTTGGTGTGGAACTGAGCATAACGCTGCAAGATGGGGCCCACGCGGGACAGGTCAGCATTAATGCCCTCGAGAGAATCAGTCTGAAGAAAATACCATTAAGATGTCAAACTAATATAGAGACACAGATTTTAAATGATAAACATTCGACTGTTTACTTCAGGGGAGGATTCTATAGTGTCTGTGCAGGAGTTTAAGTCCTGAATATCACAATAAAGTCTGAGCAGTTTTAACTGTGAAGAGCAAAACTGGAGTAATGTTTCATCAACTTGATCTGGATCTGTGGTCAAGCAAGACAAAAATATTGAAATTAGAAAAGACATACCAAGAAAAAAACATCTCAAAATAACCTCATTATAAATTAAAGCCCACCTTGGTTTTTGAAACTGTCATATAAGGTGCTTGTGATATGGGCAAGGCATGAAACAGGGGTGCTCCTGAGGGACAGCAGAGACTCTAAAGCCTAAAAGAAAAAAAAAAAGTTATTAACTCATCTTTATATGAACTTGTATGCATTTATAGAGTATTCTACCCATTTACCTGTTTCTTAATGGCAGGATGTTTAATATCAAGAAGCAAACTTTCAGCTTCACTCTCCAAAACGTCTACAAGTAAAACATGAACATTTTACAAACTCTCACAAAAAATAAAACTCTTTGCAGTGCAGTTAAATCTCACCAGGTTCTAGGTCTTTGCTCTTAAGCAAAGTGGTAAATTTCTTCAAAAGGTGCATATCTTTGGCCCGTTCACTCTTCTTGTCACTAAGGTAGGAGAGATAAATAACACTGAGCACATCACTAATATTTAATTGATCAGCATATTGTCATGGGAACTGACCTGAGAGCCAAATGGAAAGGAATGTTGACAGTCCTCAGTGCTCCATTGGTGGGGTCCAGTAGACAGACCTGCTGCGTGTGGAGCTGCCAGCCCTGACTAGTCACACTGTTCACTCCCATCAGACGATAGCCGGCATAAAGTAATCTGCAAATTACACACAATTACATACTTTTTCACCAGCAAATTCTGCATATTTATTTTTATATTTATTATATTTATGTGTCTATATTAAATCGCATAGTAAATACCTGCAGTGTTTTCCCACATTAAAAGCTCCAACTCTTGGTCCTCGCTGCATCGCCCAGACTTCCAGAATTCCTCTTCTCGGAGCATAAATGATTAAGAACAGGGCATGCCTTTTGGGAGTGGGAGCAGAGGAGGCTTCGCGAATACCTCTCTCCTCTGCAATCTGCATCCATCCCAACTGTGCATCTCGATAACCTGTATCACTCATACATACCAAGTGTCATTGAAAAGAACTTATCCAAACTTCATTAAAGTGACTACACTATTTATTCATATAATTAAGTAAAATCTGTTTTGCCTCAGTAGTTATATTGTAAAAGCAGCTCTGGGGTTTAAAACAAGACCGCTGTGTGCACCACCATTTAATTATAAAGCATCTTTATTATCCGTGGCCCAGTAAGTAATACTGGTGTATCGTTAGCATGCTAGTTGTTCTGCGCATCTTCTGAAAGTATTGAAGCATGCTTAATAACTCATAATGGTGAATAATTCGCATGCTAGGAATGTCTTAGGAAGGTGAGGCACAGCTCTGGACTCTGCACTACAAACCATTAAAAATAAACTAGCTGTGTTTTTAAGTAAAATCATATAGAGTTTTTCAGGGAGATTAAAACACAAAACTGTACTCACCTTTCCACATTCGAATAGCAATCCCTCTGGCCAGGTCCAACAGAGTAACTCTACCAAAATCATCGGTCACTCCAGCCAATGTGTTGCAAGGGGAAAGGCAGATAGTCTCCCCATGGCGCCGAGAGTCAGGGAGACCAAACCTTAAACAGAGATCGAATATTAATGAAGGTCTATGGCAAAATGAGTCCACACATATAACTATAATAAAAATTTAAATTAAGATTAAAAACACTACCTGATGGGAAGGGGCGTGGCAGGTTCTACTTTAGGTTTTTGCTTTTGAGCGACTTCTTCTTCAGCTTTGTTTTTGTTCTTATTCCAACCTAACCATCCACTGAAGTTCAATTAATAAAAGAAAGAAAAACTCAGGCTACTTTCACACTGTATTGGTGTGTTCAGATAAGAATTTAACACGATTTATTTACTCTTACCTGGCTGCATTAAACAGCGCTGATGTAAGTTTGCTAGCCACAGCCATAGCCACATGAGACAAGAGAGGCTGGGAGTTGCCCTACAGACACAAATGGAAAATATAAATTCACTTATCATTGATCTGTATTGATTTTTTTATTGATTGATTTTGTATTATATATAAAAATGGTTATAGTATATTATCATCTTACTTCTACTGCATAGAAGAAGCCTGTGTATGGTCCACTCCCCACAGTCACATACTGAGACATGGCAGGAGGGCTGCCTTTAATGGAAGCATTGAAGCCTCCAAGAATAGAGGCATTTTTCATTTGGTCAAAAACGGATGTCGCCATTACACCTGGGAAGAAAAATGATTATACAAGGACCACAAAACAAGAATCATGTAACTATTCATATTTCTTATTGGAGAACAATATAGTGGCTACCTGTGTGTATTTTATATCTGTATAACTTACCTACACTGCAATGATCCACAATGTTGTCCATCTCCTGCAGACCCCACTTTTTATAAGCCAGAGGAGGGGGCTGAATAACATCATTACCTGCTGCCGTAGCTGAACATGAATAGTGAGGAAATTTTATTTATTTAAAATACGTGAAAGGTTGTGTAAAATATCTATAGTTATCATGTTTCTCTACCCCAAAGCGATGGGCTAGGCTTTAACTAAGTGGCACTACAGAAAGAGCATTTATAGCTACAAAGACTGCTGTTACTGCCAAGGAAAATCACAATAAACAAATGCATTTAAATAACTGAATGCTTTGTTGCAATATCTATCCATACACCATGTAAGTGAACATAACATGTTATGTTTACACACTATCCATTACAAGTTATTTACTCTATTACCCTGCATTTCCACACAAAACAAAATGCAAAACACTACCTCTTGCCACCTGATTCCTGCAGGCTCGCAGAGACTGAAAGAGGCTGAAGCCATCAATGGTGACGAGAGCAGCAGGATAGAGGATACTCAGCTCCTCATGCTGAGACAGAACCAATCAATAGTGTCATAGTAGAGATATTTAACAGACTGGGCCAACAGTGGAGAGGAGGTTGTGTTACCTGCTCTGTTACTCCAGGGTGACGGGGGATCTCATATGTTCGGCACTTCAGCTTTAGCGCAGGGTCCTCGTGCAGCAGCTGAGCCAGCAGCAAAACACCATGCTGAAAAACATTTTGGTTTTATTTTGATTTTATTTTGTGTTGGGAGTTTGAGCATACAAAAAAGTGATGCACCTCAGTGTAGAAGCGGACATAGCCAGAGGAGAAGCCCACAACCACACAAGTCCAGTCAGGACGCCCCGTGGAGCTCCTACACAGAGACCATGTGATTAATTCAAAAGCTATGTGTACAGAAACACAACCTTTGCAAAAACAAGTACCTTTTTTGACTGGCCAAAGGTATACAAATGGCGCTGCTCACACACTCCCTGTCAAAATAGGATTATAGTTATAAATATATTTGTTTCTTATATTGACCCATCAGTTATCTGTTTTTCCATACCCTTCTTCACTACTAAGAGTTCCAGACCAGGACACAGCCAGGGTCATCTCATCTCGACCACTGTCATCTGTACGCCACTTGGCTGTAAAACAAATTAATTAATTAAATCACTTACACACTAATCAAGAGCTACAGTTTTATGTATGTATTTATCATCTATATATTAATGTATATCTATATATATCTATACCAGAAAGGAAGACAGCCTTCTGTTCACGAGTCACAACCAGCAGATCTGAGCAGGGTGACAGAGCCACAACACAGTCCTGTAGCCAGCCAGGTGCAGTCTGCTCCACACTCTCCTCCGCCTGAAAAACAGCAGCCTCTTTACAGTAGGTGCATTTAACAATGGTTCATAAAATGTGTTCAGCAAGACACATTTTAAAAAATGTTAAAATCTATATGAAGAGAAGAAAAATATTACTGTAGAAGTGGGAGTTGTCGCATTCTCCTCTTTGACATCATTGTCCCACGCAGACTCCCAATCAGAGGTGTCCCAAGTCAACTCATCTGACCACAAATATATTGTCATTCTAGTCACTGTACCTTTAGAAAGCCACAATTACTGGAAGAAACTAATGCTACTTTTTATCAGGAGTCATTTACAAGCGTAGCCTATCTTTCTGCACTTAGGATGAGTCATCAACTGAGTGGTCCACCGTTAAGAGACCTTCAGTCTTACCTTTCAAACACATAGCTAAGTTTTTAGCAAACACTTCAATTGCTAATTTTCAACCCATATTCACGGGTCAAGTTTTGCAACTGGACATTTTACCTGTTTGCGCTTTGTCTTCCTCGGCCTCAGTGTTCTGGTTTTGGAACAAATAGTCCCGCACAGTTTTCAGCTCCTGGAGCCGACAAAACTCCAATAAGCTACAAGACATTTCTCTTCCGTCCCGTTAGGAACGATGGAGAAAGGTTGAGCCCAATTAGCCTGGTGGCTAAGGCTAACCCAGTTGTCAAAGATTAGCTTGTCAATGTGGTTCCTTGATTAAACTTCTCCCTGCGGGACAGACATCCAGTCTAATACAGTATTTTGACTTTTACTTAAAACGGAAAGCCTAATTCAGATTAACACGCGCGATAAACTTGAATATTTTCCGATATTTGCAGCTTTTTCTGCTCTGCAGATGACACATCGCTAGCATAATAACATAGGTCACTTCCGGCCAACAATGTGGCTGGTTCTTTCAAAATAAAACGATGGATATATTTATTTCACACAGAATGTAGCTACATGTTGGATTCTATTTGCATAAAGGATACATAGTACTGCTATATAAATCAAACATCAAGCATTGGTGCTTTTTGATTCTATTTTATTATATAGTCGTTTTGATGCACAAATCAACAATAAAAACACAAGGGGGCAGTAGAACACTGTGGTGCAATGAGTTTAGGGCTACTCCCATCCAATGCTTTTACATTACTGCAGAAAGTTCGAAAGTTCTATTGTGACTTAAAATATGCTTTAAAAATTGTGCATGTGCCACATGAACCCTTGGACATCATGTTTGAAATGGCCTTTAAGTTATGACTCAACTTAAAATACAAATGCATGTCAGTGGCACTGTGGACACAATAAGGCTGGTGATTGTATGTAATGTGTTGTTATTTACTATTTTGTTTGTAAAACTTCCTCGCAAACTCTATTTATTCATTTAGGCTATTTATTTATTGTGTTTGGCAAAACTTCCTGCATCTTTACTAACAATCCCACATCATTCCCTGTCCCAGAACAGTTCATACAGTAAACACACACGCACGCACACGCACGCACGCACATACACACATACACACACATACACACACATATGAGCTCATCTCTGGGGGGTGCCCAAAAGTTTCCGGTTCGGAAGGTCGCACACAAAACTTCAGGAAACAATCGGGTGTCAGAGAGGTCCTTAGGCCAGTGCTGGTGCAGCCTCTGTGTGTTACAGGAGCCAGGGCACAGGAACAGCTCCCCATCTGGTTCCCCCTTCCTCTGCTGACAAGGAAATGAGCTGGCATCACTATATCCCCAGACAATTATGATACTGATGCACAATAGGTGATGGCTATAGAGGTTTTATTTTCTCACACTGATGAAATAGGCTACTTCTTATAAAGCCAGCCAAAAATAGTCAGATACTGTAAAGAAGAATCCAGGAGTTGATCAAATTGTCACTGTCAAATGTGTTATATTCTACTTACAAATATCAAACAAGGAAACAGTAAATGCGGTTTCTTGTTTATTTAGTAAATGCTAAACCAGAGGATTACTGGTTCAAACCCTGCCCCTCCAGTTATACGTCTAATCCTGTTGTGTCCTAGGGAAAAATACATCATCCATATTACCTGCATGAATGTGACAAGAATAAGACTCAACATTTTATCAAACTTTTAGTCAGTTATGGAGCATTTATTACTTTATTTTTGGCCACAATATACAAATACTTCAAGTACCATAGTGTGTCAGATTTCAATAGGCAACAGGTGCATTTTAGTGTACAGTAATATTGTCTTTGAATCAGACTTGAGACACTCTGTACTGACTCCTGGGTGCTGTGTGACTTGAGCACAGTGTGTGTGTTAGCCAGTCTGGCCATAATGCGTTCTCAAGTACACTCCACATCTGGAAAACACAAATTGTAGAGGAAGTGCTCTGGTGCGAAAAATATCTCTAAAGTTCAGATACAGTTTGAATTATATCTAGAGGGGAAAGCAAGGTGTCTTCTGGTTCAAAAATATTAAAGAAGGTTTAAGGCAAGGCTCCATTATAATTAACTTAAGTGGTATGCACAAAGGCTTACATGCAGGCTTATCACTGAATTATACTGACATAAAACAAAATGCATAAAACAAAATAAAAGCAAACTATTAAAAATAAGATAGAGAAGAAGAGGGATATGCATGAATTTATCTTAATCTTTTTTATGTTAAATTGCTGGGTTTCAGAAGACATCACAATATTCCAAAGGCCAATAGTATTTCATACAGATGGAAGCTAAAATGAATATTATACTATATTTTAGAAATTAGAAAGTATCAGGTTCAATATTTGTGAATTTACTTTTTGGACATTGTAATCAATAGGAAAAACTGGCTCTTGCCTTCTATATGGGGCTTTTTTCTTTTTCTTTTAATCCAAGCTACTGTATCTTGTGTGATAAGACTTTTGTGTAACTAAACTAAAATTTGAAGGAACAGCACAATATTAAATACGTCGTGCACAGTTTGCACTTTATAAAGGCTCCAAAGGTCACAATGTAACACCACTGTTATGGGATTATGATTCATCTTCTTCTGTTACAGTCTTTACAAAACTTTGGAAACATGTTATATTTCATCACCACAGAAACATGCCAGAACAATCCAGAACTCTGTACGAGCTGTTTTATTTGAAACCAAAAACCGAAAATTTGTTACCAAAAGGTTTTTAGTCTTGGATTGAGCTTACAGGCGACAATTGAATGGCTTGATTTATGTCTAAGGAATCCCACAGAAACAGGACACTTTGGTTTCCATTGGCCTCAGCACATTTTTGCAGTCTTGCTTCAGAAGCTGCCATCAGCAATGACATGGACGTAACTTAAAGCTTGTTTTCCAAAACCGAAGATGGGGAATTATTTTGTTTATAATTATAAATTGTAAATAACACACGCGTCACCCATGTCAAAATGTTTATATTGCTCAACTGTAAATAGCACAATGTCACCCATGTCAAAATGGGGGATTTACTTGTTTACATGGAGATGAATAGAAATGGTTAGCTCTAGAGTCTATGGTTATGAATAATAGGTTATGAAGCAGTTACAGATCAGTAGAACTTACAATTAATAATGTTCTGTTTGTTTTGAAGTAACTCGGTGAATTTATTACTATGAATTGTTTCATTTTATATTTTCACTGAAATTCTCGTGTCCTTCCTATAGCCTATGTATGACACCATTAAACTAACCTTGAGGTACACATGCCTGATAAATATGTACTACACTGATAATTTTACATATGTCAAAGAGTAATGATAAGAAATGATAAACTTCAAAGAAGAAACAACCCAAACAACTATGCATCCAGTAAACAAAAGAAGTCCACCGACACAGTATTTTGTTAAATGTTTATTATATATAAATGAAATGTACAGCTTAACATTCATAAAACATCAATAATTTAATGATAAAAAAGACACGACAAACACAAATATCGGAGTCACACACAGTAGAACCACAATGAAAGTCAAAGGACACGTGGACTAACGAATGTGTCTCGGTTAATCCAGAGACATGCAAGAATTCAGTCTTCACAAGTACCGGGGCGGTCCTTACACGGACAGTGTAAGATACAAGAGGTGGGTTTGTGCTTGAATACTGAAGGAAGAGGAACAAAAGCCCCTGTGTGCCCATTATGCTCCTTCAGTGAGCCACTAGAACATTAAGTTTATACTCTGCTGTGCAGATTCAAGGCGTTTGACTGCAGTCACCTCTGAGCACATCGGACAGTGTGGTCTGCTGTTTACACAGAGCTACAGAAATACACTTTACTAGTCATTCAATCTGGCAGAAGAGAGGCCACTAGTTGTACAAAACAAAATAACACTGGTTCAAGTTTTCAGTGCATGCTCTAGGCAACTGGAAAGCAGGCTCAACTTGAGTGAATAATATTCCCACACACAAGTCCTGTTCTGACAGCTGTACAGTGAAAGCGGGAAGTACAGCTGCCCCTGTCCCATGACCAAGCACACGTCAGGGGCATCGATTTGTTACAGGTTAACTTTGGTCGGCTGACATGAGCGGCTCTTCAGACACCCACGACAGAGCAAGACCTCTACAAACACGAGTAACAAGGCCACAGAGTGTGGCTCCTGACAAACAGCAGCCAAGTGTGCGGGGAAAACAACAAAGAAAGTGAAAATAGTGTCACTGTGAAAGCCCCATTACTCACCCCCAGACGCACAACCCAAAGGCACACCACGAGCAGCAAACTATTCACAAGTGTAGATAAAAACAGTCACGGGCATATGGGAGGTTCATTTGTGAGTAAACCCACATGGAAGGCAAAGGAAATTCACTTTCAAGTCTGACAGCACTTTCACATTTCATCACATGACTTCCATGTGCATGACAATGGCTAGCTAACATGCTAAATATGTTCTTCAACTTGTTCCATTTTTGTTTGGTGACCTTAAGCACAGTCAAAACTGTATTGGTGTGAGTCAAAACAACCCTCTAACATTCTGAGAAATAAGAGCAAGGTTTTCACTACAGTCAATAGCCCTTTCCGTTTCTTCAGGAACAAATGATTGGCTCAGTTTTTTAAGACTAAGGTGGACTTTGAACTGTCCTTATTTGATGCGATTGTGCAATAGCAGTGACATAAACCCTTAACAAACCACAGTCCTTCATTAGATTTTTTTTTTTTTTTTTTTTTTTTTTTACAAATCTCACCAATATGATGAATAATAATAAGGACTGTCATTTCTACAATTGTGCACAAAATATGGGTGCTAAGTATGAATATGTTAAAAATATAGATGTGTTTCTCAAACTATAAAAAAATACATAAATAGAAAATATCAGACTTGAAAGAAAAGTGTTGCTAGTTTTAAAATTTGAAATGTCAAAAACAGAAACATTCACTGAAATATTTGATTATCTGGCTGTGCAGTCTTACCATTCGACCCAAAAGTGCAATAAAATGTTTGATTCTTCTTAATATCAAAATAAATGTCACATATTTTTGAAAATGTGTAGACTTAATTTGTGTCCTTGTGTCATGTGTCCGTATTGTCCTCCTTTGAATATTCCTCTACTAGTTTCTCATAGGAATGGCTGTGCTCAGAACAGTCACTAGTAAAGACAGATTCATCCGACTCTGATCCTTGCTCTTCTTTTGAATTAGTTTCAATATTTTCATCACATGTCGTTATAGACAGTTTTGCTTTTGAATCATTATCCTCTTCTTCCTCCTCCAAATTACTGCCTAAAAAGTTCTCTTCATCAATAAAAGTTATATTAGCATTCTGGATCGTGAGTGCGTGGTATTCCTTGTTGTCCCATGTTCTTTTAGCGGAATCGCCCAGTACACCATGTTCTATATCTGCATCTTTATCAAGCTGGTTTTCAAATATCGGGTCAGGGCTCCCTTCACCCTCCACATGGTCTTCAGTTAGCAGTAATCCGCTATCTGAACCCAAGAGGTAGTTCTTTGATTTTGAGAAGGCCACAGTCACACGGTCACTAAAACTATAGCGCCTCTTTTGACGTGGAGACCTGTCTAGACTTAAAATTGTGTGACCATTAAATACTGGGGCATCATTGCAACTCTGGGACCGGCCCATGTCTTTTGATTTGGCTCTGTTGATAGCATTGATAGCTGAACCGTTAGGCCGACTGTCATTCTTATTGCCAATCTGCTTGATCAAGTCATTATAGCCTTCCTGCTTTTTGGACAGGAAGCCAAATATATTGACATCATTTGGAGTGGGTGGCAGTCTGAGAGAGGCTTTATGTGATTGTTTATAATGCTGTAGTTCATCCAGGGATAATTTTCGGAGTTTGCGGCGTTTCTTCAAAGCCTTGTGAGCTTCTATCACCATACGCACTTTCCAGTTGAAGAAGAGAGAGAGCCAGGCCAGGCCAAGGTAAATCCACACTTCCACAAAGTAGCGGTACAGAGTTGGGTATTCCTTGTTGGGTTCCACTCCTGTAGAGATAAGAAAATTCTGTTATTTGAAGTCTATACAAATAAACACATAATAGGGAATTATTCTAGACTCAGATTTTTCTAATGCTAACCCAGAAATGTCCTGATTGAGACACAAATCATACATTATACATCACATTTTCTTTAGTAAATTTTTGTTTAGCATTAGTTATGTCTAAAGGTCTAGACATTGTTCTCATTTGCCTATCATTTTAATGCCTTGTAATTAGGGATGGGCATTCGACGAAATTTTCTTAATTGATCGTCAGAAGAAGTAACGATCGATTATCGATTAATCATTAATGTTTTTATATTAAAATGATCATCATTATTATTACTATCTACACAACTAATCTGCATAAATAAATTCAACTTTACGACATATAAACTGTAACGACTCTAGAGCCACATCAATCCGTTTTAGATTATATTGTGTTTAATTCAGTTTCGTCATCGACATTGCGCGACTCTCACCTGGCAAAGCTTTTTCCCACTGGACACCGAAACATATGTGCTGCTTTATACACTGTGCACATGGACTCACACTTGTCCCGAACGGAAAGCGTGGAATTTCTTGTACAAGTCATCGTTGCACATCGTTCGCATTTGCACTTCAGTAAGTTGCAGACTGACCGACTGTTTGTGTCTCGCTCCTTCTGATGCAGAGAGCTACATGTACGGACTCATGTTTGGGCACGCTACGCTACGCAGATTCGGTTTGTCGAGTAAAATGAACGTAATCGATGAAATTCTTAATGATCAATTATCGATTAATCGACTAATCATGCCCATCCCTACTTGTAATAGATTTTTGCTAGTTTACAATTAATAAACAAATTATACTTTGCCTTGACTGCACTCTTGCCCACCCATACCAATAAAATAAAAGTTAAAAATAAAAATAAATAAATAAATAGAAGTTCAGTTTTGTCATTCTGATTTGCAAATTTGTCATAAATACCATAATAAACAGTTCAAAAAAGAAAAAAAAAAAAGTGTTCTGCTTCCATTTTTCCCCCAGAATGTTTTGATTTTTGTTCTCATAGCAGTAGATAAAGTCCTGTTGTCAACGTTCATCAAAGTGTAAACTTACCTGCCACCAAGTCTCCAAATCCGATTGTGGTTAAAGTGACAAACGAGAAGTAGAGGCCTTCAATGTAGGTCCAGCCCTCCTGGGACATGAACACAAAAGGTGGGAGCACCAAATGCACCAGCACACCCCAGAGGAGGAAGATCGCCGTGCAGGTAAACTGAGCCTTCCTCTGCAGCACAAGAAGAAAGCAAAAAACAAAAAGGGTCTTAGATAAAAGGTCATGGGATAACAGGGGTGCAACAGGAGTCAAAAGCTTAAAGACATACCAGTGAGAAGCCCTTCTTAGTGAGGTACTGGCCGAGGTGTTTAGCTCTGCCTCCGAAGAACTTTCCCAGCTCACTGATCCAGGTGAGGCACAAAGGAACACCAAAGAGACCGTAGAAGATACAGAAGACACGACCAGAGGAGGTTTTAGGGGCAATGTTCCCATACCCTGAGAGAAGAGGCGATAGAATATGTTTAAAGAGTAAAAATTTGACTTACCTAAAAGTAAAAAAAAAGCTATTCAAAATGTTTTTTCGCAACACATTATAAGTACATTTTCAATATTTTTTAGAAACAATTATTTGCACCAAGCATGAACAAAATCCTAAATTGTCTATTAGGCTATTCAATTCTAGCAAGTCATTTAAGATTGAAAATGGTTTAAGGTTTTATTTATCATGACTGAAAATAGAGATTCTCTCCAAATTAAGTAATTTAAATTCATCCACAGCCCTTGTTTCACAACAAACCTATAAAAGAGCAGCGTAGTCACGTTTTCAGCAGTTATCTCTTTGCCCTGAAGTGTTCAAATAAAGCTTTTTGGGTATTTTAGGCAGATCACTTAAAACAAAATAAACAAAAGAATTGGCCTGTGCTGGATTTTTTTTGAAAAAGGCCGATAACCGATATGCTAAAAAGTCCAATTGAAATATACTCGGTCCAATATATGCATTATTAAATTTTATGTTTGACACAATTTTATATACATTTTATACACTGTCCCATTACTGTTATGCTTACCAATAGTAGTGATAACAGTGGCTGCGAAAATGACAGCATTTGGCCAGTTCCAGTTGTTGAAGGTCTTGTTGCCAGTAATAGTCACTCCTTGGCCTGCAGCATCTGATACTACCTGTGTAAAAAAAAAAAAATACAGATAAAAAGGGAAGACTATGAAATAACTTTTAAAAAATTATTGTAATCAAGCGCAAACTCCATCTTTGAAAAAGGAAGACAGGAAGTATGTGCCATTTCTCTCACCACATCCTTCCTGTGATAAACTGATGCTATCACCAGTACTACACAGTGCACCCAAGAGATCAGCTCTGACCTATGGGGCTCAGGGTTTTAACTACTGCTTACGGCATGTGTGGAAGAGGAAACAGCACATTGCACCTAAACAGCCATTTCAGAATCGTGATGACGTAGGACTTCTAAAGGAGCAGGTACAACTTATCATTGAAACTAATCCAGTGCTTATGTCCATTATACATCAGCTGCTAAGCAAAAGTTTCAGTTGGGATCAAAAGAACAAATAAGTAGTTTTGGTTGATTCTTTTTGATGTGTAATTAAGTAAATGAAAAGCCTTTACCCCTGAACCAGTTAATTACAGTACAGGTTGGCACTACATCTTTGCAGTTGCAAGACAGGACCAGTCTTTGAAGAGGCTTCCAATCTCCAGGTTCTACAGACATTGTTGCATCTTTTTCTATCTCCTTAAAACTAACTTTTGCGCAATACCTTTTGAACACCTTAGTAAGATAACTTCATTGCCAATGCAACAAATGATTGATTCAACGAAATTACATTTGCCCCATTCTAAGATAGTGGCAAACAATGTCAAGTATTTAAGCACAATTTTAAGCCTCAAGAAAATATAATCTTCGTGGAGATATGCAGAGGTTTGCAAGATGTGCGTAATCCCCAAAGTGGCAGAATATTGTTGGTTGTTTAATAATGACAGGTTTGGGACTGCACAGCTCTGTAATTAGCAGCAGAGAGGGGGCAGTCTTTTGTCTCCTAAAAACAACACTGCTGCTCCTCTGGACTTTAGGGAGACATCACCAGTGACAGATGAGAAAAACATAATTCCACAAAGAGACAGGCTTTGCAGTGGAAGTAAGGAGTAAACCGACAGTGTATAAGGAGTAGTGTGTGAGGAGGGCTGGGTTCTGGGTCGATTTAATCTTTCAGATAAATATGAAAGGAGTGGATTGCATCATTACAAAATCAGATGGATGTAAAAACACCGAGCAACAATGACTTGTACAATTTACAACTTTAGAAAGTTTTCTGCCAACCGCTCTAGTAGTAGTAGTTTTTAGTTTAACAACACTAACTAGAGGTCCAACATTTGAAAGTCCTTTATTACACAAAATTGAGTCTTGTGAGCTTTAAGCAATGGTATAATGTTGTTATCTCCTTAAAAACATACCTCAAGTTGTGTTTTGTTTCATTCACACATGTAATCCTTTATTATTAGTGTGTCTACATCTCCAAAGATCAAAATGCTCTGTTTCACCTTGTGATGTCACATAGTTGTAGTTTTCGAGTTAACAGCCATCTTTTACTTTTAGTTCAGAAGAGATTGGCCTTTCCAGGAATTCCATCTGAAATGATTCAGAAGATTCTAATGAAGGAGTACAGAGTTTAAAAAACACAGTGGAGCGCTTCCTGTATTACCACAGGAGTGTTTCTGTTTGAGAGAAGAACCCAGTCTAAATATGCAGGGCTTGTGTGTTAAACAAAACACATGAAACAAAACATAACTTCAAGTATGTTTGTGATGAGGAAACAACATTATAACATAGATATGAAAATAGTGTTTAAATAGTGCCTTTTAAGTGTTGCTTGAAATAAATAATATAGCTATAACATAATAATCAATCACTTTCCTATACTAACTATAATGAGTAAAACTCTAAAGAGTAAAAGTCTACTATAATGATCTAATGATAAGATAAACATTCATGGCACAAAAGAAAACTAGCACTGCCCTTTTAACACACATTACCAATCTCTAGGTCATGTGGTGTTTTGATACATTTTGTTTCATATCCAAACAGACACTGATGCTCTGACATTTCTGTCTCAAGAATTCAAAGTTTAGCTAATCTCTCTGATGATTTATAGTCTTCAAGTATCTGCAACTATGTAACTCAATCAGCATGACTTGCACATGTCAATCTGTTATGCAAAACACACAAAAACGCTTGAGTTTGAACACTAAACTGCTGAAAGACAAAAACTGCTATGGGGGCAGAGAGCAGCCATCACGGAAATACCAGCTAGACCTTACGCTGCTGTTTAAGAGGGAAGAGGTGAATGACCTTAATATTACCCAAGGAAAATGTATACGGTTTTGATAAATACAATTATCTTATAAATGTCCTGACAAAATGTTAACACACCCAGTGTGCATTAGGCAAATGCGCACTTTAAAAAGAACCACATTAACTTTACTGTATACAGATTTTCTGTAGAGATGCTCATTATTCTATTAAGTAATTTCTGTCATATTGAAGATGAAAAAAGTGTTTTTTTAACAATAATTTCTTAGCCTGATTTATCATCCGGTTTTCAGCTTTCCAAAAATATTGTAAAATATAATGTCATCTATAAAATATTGTGACACTAATATTCCCAATATTGCTACATCCAAGTTGCTGACACCAAGGACAAAGAGCGGTCCTTTGGCTAGTAAATATCCTACAAGGTTGCTCAAAGGTCAGAGATCATCCTGGGGTCAACTCATACCCATCACAGGTCGCAGATGAGCCTGAGAACAAGAGGTGAAAACTAGCCACAGGAAGCAGAGATAAAAGAGACTTTGTGTGTAAGGTTGAGTAGCTCCAGAGGAAGTGGCAAAACTAGCTGAACAATCTGTGGGACTCCAACACCACTGACCGCCAGTGGAGTCTGGTGTGGTCTGTGTGCTGAACAACCAAAAATATATAAAAACATGATCACGTTACCTTTACATCTGTATTTTTGCACGTGTTATTAACCAACATAGTCAATAGTCAATATTATATTATCATAATTATTAGAATGTATTGGGAGTAGAGCTGTACAATTAATACAAATTTAATTAAGATACAATTGTTTCAAACTGTCAGTCATCAACTTGGGTCTTTTTACTCTGTCAGAAAAAGTATTTGAGCAGAGTTCAGACTTTGGAGGAAAGATTTTCACTATTTTTTTTGTTTTGTTTTAAATGGCACTGATTCAAAGTCTGCCTTATTAGTAAGTTCATGGAATGCATCAACTATTTAGATGTTTTCCCATATTGGCGCAGAGCTAATTGGACGTTTAACAAGTCCGGGTTTTAATTCTCTTAACAATAACTCTCTAGAATTCTTTCAGCGGTCATTTAAAGGATCATAAAAGATGCTGACTCCCATGTTTGTACTCACAACATTGGCATTCTGCTGGCAGCTCAGGGTCCTAATATTGAAACTAAGACTGTATCACGTATGGTAAATATAATGCAGAGTAAGCACTTGCGCCCATTTTGATAACTACAGCAAAATTTAAAATAAAAAACACTGTGACGAGACTGGTCCTTATCAGACCAGCTGCCACAGACCACTTGTGTTCCTATTGGGTTTTTTTTCCACCTCAAATGGTCAAACACAACATTGTTAGAATTGCACTCACTGTTAACTGCAGGGTAAACATGGCCCGTCTAGCCATTTTTGTGTCAGATTAGCTTTGTAACAGCTTGCTTCTGGAGCTGGGAAACATTTGACACAAGACAATTCCAAAGAAACAAAAACGGATGCCAAAGTTTTATGAATAATTTATAGTACTTTTATCTGACTTATGTTTTTGGTTACTCTTCCTACTATCAGTAAGTCTAATATTAATATTATCAATATGTCAATATTAAATGATTTGAATATTTGTGTTTCTTCCACTGCTTCTTTTGATTTTATGTTTTTTAATTTTTTTGTGGTTTATCTTACTAATACCAGATTTTATGCATAAATACATACATAAATCAAATCTTACATCCAGATATTCTTGAGTAGGAGTTCCCCAAATACTGTTTACATTCTTTCTTGAGTCATTCTTAAACCAATGAGTTTTACTTCTACTTGAATAATTACTTTTAAAACACTACTCTTACTTACGTACAATTTTTGGCCACTTCATACACTTCTGAACATCATACTTTCCTTTGAAGGTTTTACATTTTCGTCAAAAGTGCTACAATAATCTTTTAATTTCAGTGATGTCCAGTATTGTAATGCCATGTAATGAAGATTGACTGGAAAGTGGCCATTGTGAATCCATCAAAGACAAGTCTGTTTGGATAATTCATTACTTTCACCTCTAAACTCCTGACGTCAAGACCAATCACCTTCTAGCGCTTTGAGCTATTTATTTACATTCAGAATAAAGACTGGATTTCATTGGACCAGCTCTTGGAGCACATGACATGTCGGCTACTGAAATAAACAGTGAGTTGCTTCATTCATTCTGACCTGACCACAGGCTATGGTAAACCTCAAGCATGTGATTCCACTGTATTGATGAATGCATTGAAAGTGTCTGCAAAACTCGACCAATAAAAAGTTGTATTACAGTCATGTGCAGCCAGGATTCTTGGGGAAAGTCATTAGTCATACAAAAAGTCAAAGCTGATTATCTTTCCAGTGAAGGAATTGGGTTAAGGAGGAGTATTCAAGACAGTGGATTTATTGCAACTGCTGATTAAAAAACAACAAAAAAACATTTGAGTAAAGCCCATGTAGTTAAGGCTGAACTGTTCTGGACATAATATCTAGTTGTGCAAAACATCCATCCTGACAAGTATTGCTTCTAGAATTATGCTTTTGACATTCAGTTAATAATGCAAAATAGTGGAGAAAAGAATGATATATTACCTGCAAAAATAACTGCCCAAAACATGTTTGTAGACGTCCTAGCTGCAGTATTTGCAGGCTGTATTCATAATAAATCATAAGACATACATTTTGTAACAATTCCAGCCTTTGTATAAACAAGATTCTACTTCCAAAAAGGCATTATGCAAATAGTAACACTTTTTAAGAACTATAATAGACCATAGATAAAAACAAATTTTAACTATTTTTTCTCCTCAGTGATTTTTGTCATTTTTTACTTTCAAAAACAAATTAAAATTGTCTGTGTTGATTTCATGAACTGAAGTTAGCATTTGTAATTACTTTGGCCGATCCAGCCCTGTTGTATTGTCACAGAACACCACTAGATGCCATCTATGTTACTTATGTAACGTTACTTTACAGCTGTCTGACAGCCAGCTGAAGAAGACCAGAAAGCCCAGGTGAGCCTGAACAAAGTGACGGGAGGGTGATTTCATCTATTGGTGAAGAGATGGTAGCTTTAAGGAAGTGCCATTCAACAAAAAGATTCTTCATCCAAAGTCTTAACTCTGCTCCAAACCACATGCTTTTACTGACAGAGGACTGGCTGTACACTTCTCATTTAAAAAGCCCCAAGCTAAGACGATTACAAACCTTGAGCTCGATTAAAAACTGATTAATTTATCAGCCTTGAAATATTGTTCACATTTTATTTAAATTGTTTAGAAATCAACATAACTTTACCAGAATATTCATATTGTCATGTTGTGTGATAGTCAACATACAGCAGCACAAACAGTTTACATTTGCCACAGATAAGTGAACACTTCAACAGCCTCACAAGAGCCGACACTGATGGGCCATAAAATCCAATCTGCAAACTGTGACCACTTCAAGGACTGCACGGTTAATAGCAAACTCTCTGTTATTGAGACACACAAGACTAACTTTAACAAGACTGTCGCCTTCACTTGTAAAGGCTGCTTATATGTTTTTAATTGCTAACAAACCAAGCTGAGTTTCCATTGTGGAAATCTACTGACTTTGAAGCTGATAAACGTTGATACATTTGAGCGTCTCGCGTGAGTAGGTGCCTTTGGTGAGCGGGTGGTTCAAATGAAAACAGTGGAAAATTAAATACACAGAGTAAAAATGTAAACTGAACTTTCTGAATAGTAAAACATGTGGTTTAAAATTATGGTTCACAAAATGTGGGAAGACAACCACTTTAGTAAACAGGCTTTTTACAATGGTAACCAATTGCCTATACAGTTATGATTTTGTTTAATTAGGTGATGGTTTGACTTCCCATTTATACTGCAGGGCTGTTACAGAAAGGTTGGTAACACTATAAACCTGGCCAAACTTATAAAAAAATGCTTATTTTGGACAGTCACTGTGGGAACTTATGCAACAGCAGAGCCTGCTCTGGAAAAGTACGGAGTGAGCTTTAAAGAATAGGCTAAGTTTACGGTGAGCTACACACTGGACAATAAGGCTGGTTTTACTGGGCAACATATGAGGATTAGCCTCCTGTTTGGGGATGGGGATTAAATATAATCTGGCATTTTCCTTGGCTTAGACTTGGTTTAGCTCAACATTTGACAGTCAATCCTCAATTATTTCTGCTTTAACACAGGTTTACTAGTTCAGCTTCATCCAGCTTTTGTTATTCAGTCTTATTAGTATTAACTGGTAACTGGAGGACAGAACTGTTAAAAACAAATGAGTCCTTTGATACATGACACTGCAGAGAAAATGGCTAATTTCCACTCTGCGATGACCCATCCATGAATAACCGAACCAAAATCACTTTTCTTTCAAATCCAACATTCTTTCCAATGCCGAGAGGCCATTTTGGGCCAGTGCTGGGCTCCAACTGTTACTGAGGTGCCATGAATGGGGGAGGTTCATGGACATATTCCCTTTCAGAGACCCCCAAAGACAAAAAAGAGGCAGCAGGCAGCAGCCGAAGTGGGGGATGGGCCATAATAAATCTTCCCCAATACAACTGTTCCTGGGCCCAAAAAGGGGGACAAGTCAGAACATGTTCCAAAGTAATACTAGATCATAACAGTTTTTAATCTATATCTAAAAAACAGTCTATATATGTATAAAAAATAATGTAAATGAAAGATTTTCTTGGTACGCACTTGTCACACGGTCCTATACACACGTCTGTGTATAGAGAAAACTTGGACACCTGCCAAGGCACTTCCTTTCACTTGACATGGTTAAGTAATGGTTATACAGACTTTTAGTTGGGGTTAAATGTTTTGCCCCATAATTAATAGCAACGTTTAATGAAGTAATTACAGCAGGTGATGACCTTAATACACTGTGGAAAACCTAAATAAACATAAACTGGTATAGGCCATGTTGTTTGTTTACATGTTGAGATCATATTGCAGGATAGGATCAACAACTGGAAAGGAGCAAGGTCACAGAGAAGCTCCTTGTGAACAAACAGTGTCAGGGGCCAAACACCTGTGGACTGCACTGTTTACCCACTTTGTATTCATTCAAGGCTGACGGGAAACGATCAAAATCAGCATCTCTACAGCTGGTTAAAGGATTACAAATTTTACAAGACATTAACAGAGGAACACTGTGTCTTTTTGTTTATTGGGAGGAATGACTTCACTCAGAACATCCAAAAATCATAACTTTCTGACTATAAAATATTTGAGAAAGGTTGGTCTGCAAGTTCTGATGGTAACAAAAGCCATTCATTGAACTATTCACTTACGGCAATATTAGCAAACTGTTTGACTAATCATTGTTGGTAGTTTAATGCGAAATCCCATCTTGGTAAAGTGGTGCAGTTAGCCAATTTGCATCAAAGGCATGCCCAAGCAGGTGCAACAACCTTGTGCAAAACAGACGATCCTGCTTATTTTCTTCTGCAAACGCAAGCACTCAATACCATGTAGTAATGATTAAAATTGTTATTCAAGTATGTAACTCCTGTTTGTGCTTGCTTGATATGATAGTTATCTTTTCAACTGTGCTCTTTGACCAGTAATATGATTTTTACTTTACAGTTGCTTTATCAGATGTTCCAAATGATGAGCCATTAAAGGTTTTGTGAATTACTGTGCACAAATTCAACTCAAGTGACTTATAGATTATTATTTATGTGCTTCAATCAAATGTATTCGAACAGTGTAATTTAAATGTGTGAAGTTGATGCTCCATACCTCTAAAATTCTGTTCAAATCATCTTTCGTCAGACAGGGGTAGTCCTTGAGAATTTTATCCTTTTGGGCATTGTACTGTCTTGCAGCCAGCTTCCAATTAGGCTCTTCCAGAACTTGAAAAATCGCTGCCCCAATGGACAGGTAAAAAATAATAGCAGAAGTCAACAGGGGGCCTTTATCTACCATACTTCTGTAAAAGTGACAACAATGTCGACAGCGCGGGCCGGGGGAAGAGAAGACACAGAAAAGGGGGGTAGATAGCGACAATGGCCCAACAGACAGTTTTTACGCTGGAGGCATTTTCACGCTGCTTCACCAAAGTCACCAAAAGTTTCTTCTTCCGCGCCGTGGCTCTGGAAAGTGGGAGAAAAGTTTTGCCGCGGACACCATTGGGCGCGATACATAACCAGCTAAACTTGAGCATTAACCGTGAGTCGAGGAGCCGTTGTTAGTCTTTCTGTCTGTCTGTCTATCACCGCCTCCACGTGCGCAGCGGGAGGAGGACGCACTGGCAGCTGCTAAAGTAGTGCGCTCAGAGAGCGCGCACAAGATCCGCCCAGAAAAGAGAAAAAAAACTTCCCAGAGGCAGTAGCCTAGATGGGGCTCACCACCCTGGGCTCCTGTGTGTCCACCTTATCTACAGGTGTACGGCTACTGAAGCTGCGGTCTCCAGGTATGCGGAGGGACTGTAAAGGAACAAAGCTGAATGCTCCAGGACTTTATATTGTTGTTTAATCTGATAAATGTTTAAGCCAAATGTGAATCACGTGGTTTAGTGGCTAAAGCATAACTGCTGTAGCCTCTTGATCTATAACCCCACAGCCAATAAAACCACTGCATTTCATGACTGTAATTAGGCCATAGATCTTTGGTCTTCTTTTAAGTGGGTTATAATTCAGATTAGAATTTGTACATTTCTAAAACTTCATTCCAAAGTTAAAATACAATAATTGAAGTTATTTAATGAATTATTAATGATTACATTATGAATTTTTACATTTATAATTGTATAATTGGATTTGGGCACTAATGCATTAGATTTTATGATTATTATTAAGTAATCCCTAACCACTATTTGTATGACCTGAACTGTGCTTGTCTGTAGAATATTGATAAAAATATAACATTTTATTATTATAAAGTGTTTGCACAGAGGATTTATCAAGTTTTCTTTGTTTAATCTCTGAGTATCAAAGATGAAAACCAGTGAGTTTCCTATATCCTCATAAATACACCTTACTTTATCTATTTATTTGATAGGGACAATGCAGATGTAATGAACATCTGGATTAAATATGTAAATATGCCTTATTATAGCTACTAAGCACATTTACATCCGTAGTACTGAGGCAGGCAACAATACAACACACAAATAGAAAGTTAGTACACAACACAAGGAAATGTGAAAAAGTTTCTGAGTAGTGGTCAGACTGTCAAAACATTGTGCCTACTATAAATAAAGCAAAAACAAAACAGCAGAAATCTGGGTTTAGAAAAAAAGAAAAAAGCTGCTAGGAGATAGAAGACGCATCAAACCGCCTCTGCCGCCCTCACTGTACTGTGGTCTGTGGATGTGTGGGAATGTTTGGTATGCAAGACGGCAAGGCATTGCATCATGTACTTTTGGCCTTGGGCATTTTTTTCCCACTATCTGTGTGTCTATTTACATGCTTGACCAAAAAATGACAAAGAAAGAAATTTTGATTGTTGGCTAAGTAAATGTTGTAACTTTGATCCACTTTTGGCAGAGCCTTCCTTTCCCAAGTTTATGTCATGTTGTGATAACCTGGTTCTTATGTTGATGGATGGCTTTTGGCTGAACCACTTTTTTGAATCATTGTCAGGGTTTCTAGATCATATAGGAGACAGTGCATAAATCCAGACACTAGTGAGAGCTCCATAGTTTGGCAGAAGATGCAGTCGTGCGTGTGTCAGCATGTCGTCTGAACAACCCAAAAAGGAAAGCAGTTTGGAGACTTCATTTAATGTCAAGTTGCCCTGAGGTGAGTAGATAGGACACATGCAAAAGTACACTCTGTATGATTGGATTGTTCGACATTATAACAGTTTCAACTGGGGGCATCATGATGCAATCTGTATTCCAATAGAAAATATACAAAAGGATCAAAAGTATTCTGATTCCTAGGACATGCATTAACCCTTAGAATGGTCTTAAAGGTTTATTAAATGTATTTTAATTGTATTAGATAACAAAATGCAATTGAATTTTAGGTTTATAACGCCCCTAATATCAAAACATAATATATTAAACTTTATTATCTCATTTAACATTGTTTAAAAGTATCATGTAATATGCATCCCTGTATATGCGTATTACCAAGAAGTCTGTATAATATATTGCAGTATTGATATTTTGAGTACAACCCTTAGGTGTATTGTACTATTAATTTGATTAAACAAAAAGTACAATAATATTTTGGTACTCTATAGATTTTTACAACAGCAAATGCTGTTTATTCACCTTCAAAGGCAAAGAGTAAAAGTTATTTATGACAGGATGAGACAGAGAAATGTATGGTGGTGCAGCAGCACTGTTACAGACTCAGCTGTGTCCTGGTGCAGGCGGTGCTTTTCGTCTGCGGCACACATTAAGACCAGAGCTTACATAACTTCCATACCAGCACTGCATTGGTTCCTCCCCACATCCTAAACATGACCCCATTACAACACAAGACAAATACTACGTCTGTGCTGAAATTACTCCCAGTTAAAAAGTGAAGAAAATGTCCATTAATTATCTTGATTCTTTCATTAACTGATTATTATTGAGTAGGATTCTTGCTGCATAACCAAAAGGCTCTGGGTTTGATTGGTCTATTTAGCCTCTTTTCCACTGGAACAGTTCGCTTGGGGAGTTGTGTGGAGTTTGCATGTTGTATGTGTGGATACATGCAGGTAAACCACCTGACTTCCTCATACAGAGAATACAGAATACAGAGGGGTAGTCTCCAAATAACAACAAAAATATCCCTAATATATGGCTGATTAAAGCTGGAATTTAATTGAAATTGACTAAAACCTGAACTGAACAAGGATTATATGAAATAAGAATTTGCTTAAAATCCTAAAGCCTTTTCACTTAGAGGTCTCAGTTTAAAGAGTCCACATCAGGGTTCACTTTGGGTTCAATTATTTACACCAGAGCTTTACTCTAATATGAAGCTCTGTAAAAATGTATTTTTCATAGACAAGAAACAAGATTACAAGTTACAAGTTCTACACAATATTAGATAATAACAAAAAAAACTTGTATATTAATATATTAATTTATATATATACAAACTAAGGTTAACACAGTTTGACACACTTCAGAGTATAAATAAAAGAGCCCATTTGTTTATGTTTAGTTTTATAGACTTGTTATATTCTGATGTTATATTCTTCCACCAGTTTTACTTGGACAATCACGGAAATGTGCTGTACATAACTAAAGCATTTAAGGAGTATGAGGCTGTCTGTTTTCACATGTCACTGCGATGGAGATTTGACGTCATGATTGTACATAAACTAAAGTTGACAAATGAGCTCTTCTTTCAGTTTATAAAAGGTCACCAGAGCAGATGGCCCGCGATTAGTTCATACTGTAACACTGAAGAGAAATCTGCTGTGGTGGTCTTTACCAGAAAACCCACCGGGATCCAAGGGGACTTCCGGAGGTTTACTTTCAGTTGATTAAACAAACCGGAAAGACAGCATCAGATAAGCCAGGATACAGTAGATGGTTTGTATTGTATCTATGAATGGGAGTAAAGTGGTTAGTATTACACATGAAAGGGTAGCTGTTCAAACCTAGCAAGAGAAGATGTATTGTTGTCAAGTTGTGTAGTTATCTAGTTTTCAAGACACTGGATTCAAATTGCCTTCTTAATTTCCGAAGTGGTACTCAATGAACAATACATTTTTACATTTCCTCTTAAAAAAACATCTCACAAAATTTAACAAGGAAGCTATTGCTTGCTGTTACTGTGGGGATCTCCATCTTCCCTTTCATAACTAAAGGCCTTGTGTTACTTAAGAGCTTGACTGTAAATAGCTCATATTCAAATTAAAGTGTTTAGGTAAAAAGGTTTCAGTGTTCAATGACATTCTGTTTTGCTAATCACAAGAAATACCATTAAAAAGCAACAGTGACTGAATTTGAAAATAAAGCTGTTCTTCTAGTGTTAACCACTAATGTGAAGTATGATTATAAAAATGAAACTGTAATCTCATTTCCTATATTCTATAGTCTATTTTGATAAAATTGACATATCACTATTCTCAAGTTTCCTCTTGAATGCAGCCCTATACTAAAAAAAAAAAGAAAAAAAATTCTCACCCACATCCTTAATAGGGCAACTTCAGTAATGTCCTATGTTTGTGACAGGTGGGTTTACCCAACTGTAATAAAGTGTGAACTTTCAGAAGAAGCAGATTACAATAGTTAGGTCTTCAAGGCAGTACTGAGAGGTAAACAGCTATATTTTACCTTTAGTTCTGTAGCAATTGACAAATCCAGGGCTGAAATCATCGAAATTATTCTAGTGAAGGTGAGTGTTTTCTGTTTGAGAGAAATACTCTGTAAATATTGTTTTACACACGTCCAGGTATGTTTTTGATGAAGAAACAACATTATCATCAGAAAACAAAAAAATGTGTGTCCATTAACATCACAAAATTAATGAATAAATCAGGTCAAGTCCATACTGCAGATGACTTGAAGACATTTGCAGATCTGCTGTTATAAAACTTATTTTTCACAGTAATCTGGATTCACACCAAAATGACTCATTTACTCCTTGACTTGTTACTTTTTCCCCCAATAATACATAAAAGCATACCACAATCCATGACTAACTAATCATACAACACATTGTACCAATTTATTATTTTCTAGGCAAAGAAAGTTTAAAAAATGAAAACAGGTTTAAATGTGCATTGTGTAACTTTTCTGGTGGAGGGTTCATCAAATGCTTTTCTTCATGGAGATGTCATTACTTCGTTTGGAATGTTTCACAGTGTGGCATTAAACCTTTCTATCTTCATGGAGACCAAACTACACCAAGTTACAGGTCAGATCTCTAGAAAGGCAACCTTGCTCACAATATTTTTGAGTTATAAAACCACCTGTAATTGAATAAATGTGAGGTAAAGCTGGTTAATGTTATACTGTGGAACATTCCAGGCAGAGAAATTACATCTCCAGTGAAACAAGCAGGTGATGGAGTCCCAGCAAAAAAGTTAAATAGTCCACCTTTAAGTTCTTTCCCTATTATCAATCGATGTAGCTCACTTATAGTACACTTCTGCAATGTTGTTAACGGTGCATTGTGTAACTTATTGTGGCGGGTCCGTCAAATGCTTTTCTCCATAAAAAATATTATTACTTTGTCTGAAATGTTTCACACTATGGTATTAAACCTTTCTATCTTCATGGAAACCAAACCAGACCAAGTTACAGGTCAGATCTGTGGAGAGGAAACCCCGCTATCAATCAGAATACCTGTTTTTCTAGGTATATGCAAAGAAA